CTTGTTGCGGGGGGGGGGGGGGGGGGAGTGAGACTGGTTATGGTTTGATAAATTAAAATTTGAGAACATTTGATTTGGAAACAGAAAAAGTGTATGTAGGTAGCCCTTTTCATTTCCATATTTAACAGGGTAGCTTAACAAAATATATGTATTTTACTGACCAGAATGTTTCCAGAGTATGTTTTTCTCTTATGCCTTAATGGGCAGATTCCTAGGAATCCAGCTCGGTCCTTCCTGTCAAATAGACATCTCCCACTCCAGTTTTTTTTTTTCTTCTACTCAAAACTCCAGCATCAGCATGACTGTGGCCCCAACAAGGCAAATTTACTTGAAAATTTCAAGTGTTCAGAAGCAGAATTAGAACTTGAAAGTCAAACAAGCTGGCATGATTAATGAGTATGAAATACCAAACATCCAAGATCAGTCTTCCCTCTGCTGCAGACTTGAGTCTGCTGTTCGATTTGTGATTTAAAATTTTTTCTCTGTACCCATGGCAAAGTAAGAGGGGTACAAACTTAGTTTTTTAATGCCACTGTTTTAACAACATTAATATGTTTTAGATATAGGATAAAGACAGCTTAAAATTTTTCTTCATCCATTACATCTTTGCAAAAATTGTATAAATGCATATTTTCATACAAAAAGACTTGATACAGCATTCCTTCATGTATTTGCACATTTGCTGTTGCTAAGTAAAAACCAGCTGATGGATGTTTTATGTTTGGATCTACACATCTTTCATGGTATTTACCCATTATTTCTGACACTCTGCCACCCATTTTGAAGCACTTCACACAACTGAAAGAAGAATGCTACTGCATCTTTAGAGATTTCACTCTAGTCATGCAGCAACATGTCAAGTTGCAGATGTTCTAGTTGATGGTGTGGTTTTAGAACCACCTGTTTCTTCAACTATTCCATATATTTCCTTTGTCAAAAAAACTTAGATTATGTATCCTGCTGTTGATGTTACTTCACATGTTATCTTGAATATCAGACTACTTTTTATGAAATCCAGGCAGAATATATTGAGGTACACCAAGTTTTACAGTGATAAAAGTGGTTCCAGTATTTGAAATTAGAGATATTGATACACACTGATAAATGATAAATCTGTAGTATTTGCAGGAAAAAATGAATTGAAACCTACCAGAATCATATGTTTGAATCAGTCATTGGTTTGAATAAATTCCTCAGACTATAGTATACTGCTGTAACTCAACCGTTTATTTTAATTCCATGTTGTATGTGACTCTCATCTAATGGGTAGGTTAGAAAAAAGTAACATAGTAGATTCATGATGTGGCTATCCTGTATTAAAAGGACAGTGTCCAGGTCTCTTTATATGTACATGCTTTGGCCCTGTTGTCCTTTACTTGTCTAAAAGGCACTTTTATCTTTGAGCACCAACCATAAGTGCAGATGTCTGCAAGCTAGCCAGTCTGTATCTGTCTAAACTCCGTCATTCTGTTAACCCCCAAACCCAGTTATCAGCTCCTGGTTTTATTTTCTCTAAGACTATTTTAGCAAAATGGTGACATCTGTGACATGTTTTTTTTCCTCTAAAAAATCATTGCATGTGATTATAAAGAAAGGCAGTCTTTAATATAATTTTTTGTTCATTTTTACTCTATTTTATGAGCCATTATGTATACACGTAAATTTCAAATTAAATTTCATTGCTGTGATCTACAACTAGGTTTCTATTTTTGATTGAGTTATTCAATCACTGTTGCTCTTTGTGGTCATTTTTGCATTTCACAGTGGCCGATTTAAATCATCCTCTTGGATGTTGTAAAAAAAGAAAAATAATTTGTTAAAAAAACAATAAAGTAGAAGCAGAGCATTTTTTTATCGGATAGGAAATCTATTTGTGATGGGCACATGTTGTGCTGGGGTGTATTTATTCAAGTTTCAGGTGTGGTGTTTCATGGGTCATTCATCTTGGCTAAACACTTGCCCTATTAACCTAAGAAGCTACAGTACACACATACATATAGATGTAAACTACAAGCTCTTGTCTACCTTATGGTTTGTGTCCATGTGGTGTGTTCACACTTGTGCTGGTCCCATACTACACCCTTCATGTGGTGTGTTCACACTTGTGCTGGTCCCATACTACACCCTTCATGTGGTGTGTTCACACTTGTGCTGGTCCCATACTACACCCATCATGTGGTGTGTTCACACTTGTGCTGGTCCCATACTACACCCATCATGTGGTGTGTTCACACTTGTGCTGGTCCCATACTACACCCATCATGTGGTGTGTTCACACTTGTGCTGGTCCCATATAACACCCATCATGTAGTGTGTTCACACTTGTGTTGGTTATCACTACACTGACCATCATCTAAAAATCATTTAAATTGGGACAGTCTGAAGAAAATGGAAAGTGCTTGCTCAGTTTGAATTTTATTTCATTGTGCTAGAACCCAACCTTCTGCCCTTAACATCACACTGCCATTTTGATATTCCCAGTGCAGAACAGGGACAGCCTTGGGCTAGTAAGGACCCTGTGAAAGAAAGTTTGACAAATGCGTGTGGTCCAATATTGTGATTCTTTACCTGTGGGTTCAGTTCAGTAGTCATGTCAGTTGCGGTTTTGTATGCATCTGTAATTTGTTTAACATTACAAAATATATCTGTTCTTCATCTTCTTCCCTTATTTTTGATCTCAGCTTGGACTTTGGAAAAGCAGTTTACTTAACTAGTAGTTGTTTTTATCCCTGTGAAAACTAATCATATGATGGCTCCCACTTCAAGCAAGAGCATGAAAATGTTTTCTTTAATTTTATCTTATTTTCAGTTGTGGTGTTTCTACGACATATGTGAATGACTATGAATACTAATGAATAGTAAATATGTTAATGCACTTATACCTCTGACAATCACAAAGACCAGACTTTTTTCCCTCAATTGCAAAGACGAGACTAATTTTTCCCTCATGTTAAATAAACATTGATATAACTTTTTTTTTTGCTGTTAATGATGTATAATTTTCCAATTTCAGTGAAATGCCCTACATCACAGCCCACGCCTGCGAGGGTTCCTACTTGGACCTGAAGTGTTCGAATGAGACCCTGGTGCTGCACATTATACGGGCCAACTATGGCCGCTTGTCCAACTCAGTGTGTAACGAGGAAGGCAAGGCCTACAGTACTGACTGTTTGTCTCCAAGAGCAGTGAGAATAGTGCGGCAAAGGTACATGATATTTTTTTGGAAGAACTTCTTAAAGCAGAATTGTTACACTTCCTTTTTTTACCATGCCTACCAAGTACTTTGCTTATGATTATTAAGGTTTGTGTGAAGTTCAAACATTATCATATTCTACAGAATTTGGCTGTTCACCATTTCATCATTCGTATAGGTAAAAAAAAAAAGGATAAAAAAGAGAAAAAACAGTTGTAAAGCAATTTAAACCTATTCTCTTCATAGTTAGTATAAATTAAAAATAAACACCCAAAAATACATAAAGAATAAGCTGTAGTTATAAAATAGCCATTCAGTTCACTCTTATACATGTTAGAAACCTTTTCCCCTAGAAGTAAAGACATTTATCACTATTTCCAACATATCCCTTAAAGGTTGCATGGTCTTGATATAAGCATTTCACTGTCTTTAATGGCTTTTGCGGCATGCAAGAAACTCAAATAGCAAGCCAAAAAAAAAAAAGCACAGATAGTACTGTAAGTGGTATAATTCTCTTGTAGAAGATGTTCATTTTTCTGACAGCCGCTTGATGCATCATTTTCTTTTACTTCTCATTATAAAGAAAGACAGTAAACCCAAATAATGTAACAGCTTTAAATGAAGTATTACATTTACCATTAAATTGGCTGAGATTGAAAACAGGTTTGAAATAGAACATTTAACAAGGGGAACAAAAAAGTTATAACCATATATCAGTCTAATGGTTTCTCCATGTTGAAAAGGCATTGAAAGTGAACCAGGAGACTTAATACATGATGGCAGGGCTAATGGCATAAAGCCAGTCAACAAAGATGGCAATTTGCCATTTTTTTTTCAACCGGAGCCTAAATGACTTCCTATGCTCATTCAAAATGATCCTACTTCACTTCCTCTGAGTAATTGGCTTAAAGATGTTTGACTTCACACAGTACTTTATTGCTGAATGACACTGTAATATATATTGTCACCTAAAACCGTTTCTGATAAAATAGAAACTGGGGGCTGCAGTGTGAATTTTATGGCCTGTTTCTCTGGAATGAGCAAGTTAGATAGGTGTATTATACATACCACTTGGGTTTCTGTAACTCCAGTTTTTGTTTTGAAATTTTTAACTGTCTTTTTAATTCTTAGAGCTATAATTCTGTTATAATGTTCTTTTATAATAGCTTATATTGAATAGATTTTCTTAATTTTTTCCTGAAACTTAAGTTCCATTGTGTTGATATTAAAACTGCTAAAATCTGTTATCAAAATTTCTTTTTCTGTTTTTCATGTACTTTATTTGTAAACATTATCAAGAAATGATAACTTGACTTATATATATACTGTGCATTAATTTTGGTGGTGGTAGCATTTTATTTAACGGCATAGGAGTGAGGAAAGTGAGACCCATTACTGATAGCCAATACAAGACTGAAGTTTTTCATGCTTAAAACATTCAGTTTTTTATGTATTGGAAAAGAAATTCAAGAACACAAACAGCAAAGAGATGGTGAATTTCAGTGGGGATCAAGGGGGAAAATTATCTGTAATATCTTCCAGTATTTTCCAAGAATGAGACATTGAAAGGTGACTGAAATCAATTCAAGTAGCATTTGGCACCAATATTTCACTCCTATGCCTTTCAGAACTTTTAATGAATTGTATGTTGGTGGTGGTGCTGCTGCTGTTGATTACTTGCTTTTTTCCTAGTGCCATTTTTAAACTTTATATACCTAGGTGTAACCGGAACAATTGCAGTGTTCCAGCTTCTAATGTCATTTTTAGTGACCCTTGTTCTGATACACTTAAATATTTGGAGGTTGAATACCAGTGTATCTTAGGTAAGGTGGAGGTGAATATCATATGTATAACAACTTACGGGGCACCTGTGCATGGAGCATATATATATACATATATGTGTACATATGTATATGCATCGACTAGATTAGGTATATTATACTGTTTTTTGCCCATCCTGCCTGTGGAGGCCAGTTTCACAAAAGTGCTATAGCCCCTAAATTGGTCTTAATTTTTAAGACCAAAACTGAGCTCTACTTCAGAACAAGGAAAATCCATAGTAGGTCACGTAAATTAACCATGCCTCCCCTGTTATAAAACACCATTTCATTTAATTGGACTGCTTTTTTATTTTGTGTCAAAATGGACAAAAAGTTTTCAGGCTATAGCACTGTTGTGAAAAAGACTCCAAATGATACAAATAGCCTGCTATGTCACGGTATCTGCTGCCAACTCTTATCAGGGCAAATTAAACACAAAAATTAAAGAACTTTTTTCTCTTTGTTAGTCTATGGTAAAGAATCTATTCATATTTCTTAAAAAGGAAAAAAAAAGCTGCTCAGAAATTTGAATTATTTTCCATTAAATTTGACTTTTTGTAAATAGACTAAAAAATGCCTTTTGTACCTAATTATATATCCCAGTTTGTTGTGAAAAAGTTCCCTTACATGCTCAGCATTGACTTGCACAGAAAAATTGAAAAGATCACAAGAAAACGGTAATTAATTTCCTCCTGTTTGACAGAAATGGTCGTGTCAGGAATTCCTATGCCATGAAAAATCAAAGTGCAAGTCCAACAAATTGAGAGTCAAAAGACATGAGTTTGTGCAGGTCTGCTGAGTTTGACATTTGGTGTGGGGAGTAGCAGCAGGCCTAGAGACATCAAGGCCTGTTCAGAAAGGATAATTTCTGGCTAAGAACTGGCCCAATTTGTGTTGAAAGACTGCCTTTGCACAAGTAGAACCCGCTGTCAATTAAATCCATTGTTTTACAACACAATTTAGACCTATACCCAGCCTGAAATGGACCTTGTATGAATGCGGCTTTGGAACACCCTGAGTATTTGAGAGCTAAAGATGACTGCCCCTGTCAGAATATGGTGGGAAATTTCAGTTTGGGTATCAAACACTCAGGGTGTTATGGGCAGACTGGTATATCAGAGCATGGTGCATGGAAAAGATAAATGGCATGACTGAACTTGAGGTGATTGTGATTCTCTGGGAATGATGTGATACAAAACCTCAAAAAAGACACGACAAAAAGAAAGTTTCACATTAGATATGGCTCTAAAGAAAGGCAATTTTTTCTTGGCTGTTAGGCTGGCTGGTTATGGTTGAACAGAAAGATGATCTGCATGGTTGATCATAGGGAAATGATGTTCCTTTTGAACTTTTTTCTTTAATAAGAGAAACAAAACAAAAGAAATAAGTTTTAGCTGTGGCCTAGATGTAGTATTCTGTGGGCGATTGTTGGTGTTCTGAGAAGTGTGTTTAAAGGGATAATAACTCTTTGTATGAGATCTATATTTCACAATAAAAACGTTGTGAGTAACTTATAGAAATATAATATACTCTGTTTTACCACAAAAACGGCAGTTATAGCTATTATTCTGATATTTGAGCTTGTCTTTAGACCACGTGACCTCCATTGATGGCTATACTCTGTTAAAATCTCTTAAGAGATTTTAACAAAAAACCAAACTTTTTAGAAAAAAAACAGGGACTTACTTTAAATGTAAAAATGGATTCATTAACCATTGGTAAGTATGGGAAAATTGTTGTTTACTCCAGGAAAATTCATATTTTGGCCAAAACGAAGAGTTATTATCCCTTTAAACAAATTTGTCAAAGAAAAGAATTTGGTCACTATCAGACTTTGAAAGTAATTCATGCATCACTTGTACTGGAGGTGATGCCATCATGATATCAGGAACCAAAACATCGTCTGCCAGTCTGATATATGCCTGGTTTTTACCAGTTTGGAACAACACTGATGTCAGTGACAGCTGGTTCGTCTGATACATCACTGTTTTTTTTTCCTACTAATTTCAAGTGTGTTGAAGATAATGAGAAACAGTCTCTTACTTTACAATTGCAGCAGGAAATATCCTGTTTCTTGCAGCACTGTTTTGGCTTCTAATGGGATGCAAAATCACAAACTTTGGAGACAGATTTCCTAACTTTGTATCCTTTTTTCTTGACACATTTAATCAGTTCCATACTGTAAATTTGAGCCAATCTTTGCCATTGTTGAGTCAGACTTACATATTTTACATCAATCAAAAATGTCATCTAGACACAAATCCCAATTTTTTTTCACAACTGTAGCACAAGTATATTTATGCCAAAATTGAGAAACCCATTGCTAAAGGAAATTGTCAATAAGTTTGACATGAAAACGTATATATCCATAGATATGCTTATTATATGATACTCTCTATGGGGAAGTAAAAACGAGTGGAAACTGTGTGTGGGAGAAATGAGTGGAAAGTTTTACATTATTAATTCTGTGGCACTAGTGACACCATATGTCACACTAGACATGGGAATGCTGCCAAGTTGTTGTGGAGCCATGGTGGTCTGGTGGTCACAGAAAAAAAAAAATGTCATCCCGTTGTCCCACAGACCAGTCACGGGCATGGTCAGTGGCCACCAATGGTCAAAAAAGCACCGCAAGACCAGTCTGTTAGAGTAGCCATTGATAGTGTTGTGTCTGTCACGTCATAGTGAGTGTAAATCTTTCTCGAGTGGCAGTCTGTGGACTGCCTGTCAATATTGTGAACCAAATGATCCCTTTGACCAACTGACTTACTCTAGTGGTCATTTACATAGGTCTCACTGGTCAGTACAGTGCCAGATTCTGATGGGGATGACCACCTGTATTTAATGCTACCTTTATGGCTGGTGCTTACAACACTGGCTGTCAGGTCAGAATTCAAAACCTAATGGTCAGTTGGTTTTTCTTAACTAGCTGACCACACACTGACCACCTGTAATAAAGGCCATTTTAGTCTCAGGTGGTCTGATTTTGATTGCCCTGTGCTCAAAACAAACCTAATGGAAGGGAATATGTACACAATGCCCTCCGATAATATAACAGTTCAGTATGTTTTGACCAATATTGGTTTGCAGCACCTTTTGCACTACTTAACTTCACCCAGCCAGACTTCTACGAATAATAATAATCACAAGCCACAGGCATTGGCAGGTTGCTGTTATCTTAGAAGGAATAAATCAGAGACAAAATAAATGTACTCCATATGAGGTGGGTCAGCTGAAAGTGTTTGTGTGGGGATATTATTTCTCACTTACAGGATGTTATGCTGTGAGGGTAAATTATGGTGGAAATGATACAACATTAAGGTTCCTATTATATACTGGGGGAGCTCTGTGTCTGGCTGGCTGGCTGTATATTTGGTGTCAAATTTTTCGATGCAATAATTATTAGACGGGTAACAATTAGCAGACTCGAACTCAGTGCTGGTTTGAAGGGTTGGTTAGACTTTGCCAAGTTAAGGGTCCAAGTAGATTAATTATTTTAGTTCATGTGTGTTTGGGGGATTGGGGGGGGGCTTCAGCCCTGTTTCATTTGATTGTTACAAACAAAAGAATTCAAATTGCACATTAAAAATGTAAGCTTACCCAAATGGGATACTACATGTGTCTGAAATTGTTTTACAGTGTAGCGTCATCATTCAGAATATATTTAAAAAAAAAAGAAACAGCAAGAAATGGCAGTCTGCCAAAGAGGGTAGGATATATCTGTCAAACGAACAGCCGCACCAGGAATTATTGCTTATCTTCTATTACAAAATGTGTCTGCATAACTGTGCATGACTCACCCCATATACTCTGTATAGAAAATAATATTTCCGGTGTTTCACCTGAGTGTTAGTGATCACCCACACATTGTTTGCCTTTTGGATCAACTTGTGTGTTTTCAACATGGGGACTTCTGTCACAGATCAATATGCAATGATAACCTGAGGGAATATCCACCTGAGGCTTATGATTATCAGAATGATACTGTTCTGAATTGTTCTTAGTTAGAACAGCTTTGACTCAACAGTGTGGTTTTCAATTAACCTAGATATGTCAAGAACACTCTTACTTCACACACACACACACACACTTATACATATACGCATGCACACACACATGGTGATAACCTCTGCCCACCAGTTCTTAGAATCGTCATAGCCAACACAAAAATAAAAATGCCTTGTGACTACCATCTAGGATGGTTTGTTGTTGATTGTTTGTTTGTATGGGTTTTTTTTTGTTTGCAGGAAGTATATCTATCATAACAATCAATATGCATGATGATGTATCAGTATACGTAGTACTAATTGCCCTGAAAATAATGAAGTATTGACATTGTCACAAACATTGTAGGCGATTCAATAAACCTATGTTTTACAAGGACTTTTTTATATTCTGCTATCACAGTATTTTGATGTCTTGTTTACAGATCTAGAGCTACAGCAAAACAACTTGGCATGAAAATTATATTGGAAAGTGGTCAAACACATACAGAAAAGATAATTATTTTTAGATCCATATTGTTTTGCATTTGGAAATTTTCAACCATTAAGAAACAGGATTTAAGCTTTCATTTAATTCTGATAAAACACGTTGACATGATTTTTTGCCCAAATTGCTTGATTTGCATTTTAAAAAGCAAAAGGAACAAAAAAAAAGTTGAATCACTTACAGATTTTGTAACAGTGCCATTTGGGCCTTCTTATAAAAAAGAAGAGAAAAAAATCAAGCCAGTAGTCCTACTAACAATGTATACAAATAAGTTAATATTGCAGATATTGGCACCACTTTACTAATTACAAATAGATAATCAGTAGTAATCCATGCATGTCCTTTTCCCATATTATCACAGGTGCCAAGGCCAATTTGCATGCTCTTTGCCTATAAATAACGGATATTTTGGAGACCCCTGTCGAAAGGTGTACAAGTACATTGAAATACAGTACAGATGTGTTCCAGGTAGGCTAGATGTTGATGTGATAATTGCTCTCTAATTTTAAACACATATTTCCCAATGCAGTGTTTTGTAAGAGAAGTTCTTGTGAAAAAAAATTTTGAATAATATTTAAGTTAAAAATGATGAGTTGTAATCATTGGGAAAGTGGAATATGTAAGGTGTTTGAAATTTGTGTGTAATTACCATAGTTTGATTTCTGTTATGTTCAAGGCTGAATTAATTTGTAGATTTGCTATCTTGATTCTGCATGTTGATTTATTTATGAACAATGAGAGGCACAGTAACTGTGAGAAACCTGGTTCATGTATTCTCTGAATGCCAAATTCAACGAGAATACTATTTGTTTGGCAAGCATTGAAAATTCATCAAATTATGTCACTGTCACCAGTCCTTGGTTTGAAACATAATAGTGATACATATATAAATATTCTTTATTTTGATAGATATCTATAAGCAGTATTAATTATACTGCATTGTATAGCAGTTTTCTTTTCTCAAACTTATTGTGAGTATATAGAACAGAACCAGGTTTAAAACATGCTTTGTGTTGATTATAGTTCATGGATCATTACTTTGATTGTTATTTTTGGCATGTTGAGATTGTCCCGAGGCTTGAATTCGATATCACTTATGTTTGCAGTTTTTGTTTTCCTTGGGTTTTTGTATTTATATATTTTTATAATTTGTACATACTTAATATTAAAAATTTATTGTGGTCAAATAATACAATTTTTAGGATGATGATAAATGTCTTATTTTTTTTTGTTAATTTTTTATTTGATATAAGCTACTGCTAGACATACATCTGAGCTGGGAGAGAAACTGTGTTTATGTTTGAAGTAAGCTTAGAGATCCCCCACACGAAAGTTTACACAAAATTGATGCAACATTTGGAACAAGACAAGCGCTGGCCCAGCTTGTTTTGAAAAGAAAAGTTAGTATTGTTGGAGTAATTCTATCAATGTCAAAGATAATTTTTATAAACCAGTGCTTTATTTATTTTGGCAATGGTGACATTTCAAACTTGGGCTGGGAGGCACAGACAGATTTACTAGATGAAAAAGATATGTCTTGCCTAGATGTTTGCTTTTGGCACCAGTTACACTACAAGATAAAGGGGAGAATGTTTTTCCCAGACTCAGATGTTATTCTAACACACTTGTTTTAACCCTTTTAATGTGAATAAGGTGTTTCCCAGTGAAAGTGAATTGAAAAGTTATGGCACATATCTATAAAGCTGACAAAAAAAACTTAAAAAGGACCTTGTTTTATGGTTGTCCAATATTTTTTGCAGCGGCTGCTAGTTAATTTTCAAAATGCAATTTTTTGCTTCATTTGCATATGAGACTCACTCTAACATGCATCCATCTAAAAACACCTTATTTTGGTTGTTACATGCCTTGTAAAGAGCAGAGAAACTTATAATTGAGTGCAATTTATCAGGGCTGACAAAAGTTTTTAAAAAGTCAATCCAGTAGCACATAGTTGAACATAACCCAATGTTAGAGTCAGTCCAGCTTTGAATCAGTGTTGTATTTCAGTTTTTCCTTTCGATATTTTTGCTGCTTCTGTTTCTAAATTGGCTGCAGAAGTCTTGCATGACGTCCATTCCAATTCGTTGTTTCAGAGGGCTACCTTCCTTCTGAGGCCCCAGTTGAAACCTTGTTTCATTTAAGCACTACTACCCAGCCCGCTTTATTTCATAGTAAGTAGGAGGGCGTGATGTTGAGGATTTGAGGATGCAGTGCCCTTGGAGATGCAGCATGGCTACAGTAGCGACCTAGACATTTCACCATTTTTTTTTTCATTAGCGCGCCTGTGCCTGAGCATGTTTGTGGCTTGATTATCTATGTGTGCCCTTTATCTTGTATGCAGCTCAAGCTAAATATAGAACATTTTTTTATTTTCTTCTTTGCACCATGGTTTTCTCTTGAATTTACTAGCTGAAGATAAAAGATGGACATCTAAGTCATGCCTTTAACTTGTGTTTTGTCTTTTGACATGTCTTTCTGAAGTTTATGGACCAAAAATTGGCAGTTTCTCCACTTACTGCCTGTATTTCATTTATACACAGTGTTTCATTCCTGATTCTTTTACTCACCGCAGACAGAACAGTAACTTCCTATCCTTAAGATTTGAGGTTTCTTTTCAAACATTTTAGGTCAAATTTAATGTGTATCTGATTTGTTAAAAAGCATACCTAACATTAAACTTGTGGTATAATACAGTTGTGCTCCTTCTTTATAACAATTTTGGTTTCAAAGCATTATCTCATCTAACTGTAACATGTGGACCTTTCGATATGAAAATTTAAACTAAACTTGTGGAATAATACAATTGTGCTCCTTTTTATAACAATTTTGGTTTCAAAACATTATCTCATCTAACTGTAACATGTGGACCTTTTGATATGAAAATTTAAACATTTTCTGTCCTCTTTTTTTTTTCAAATATGACCACTTTTAACTGCGCACATTTAATGCTTGCTATTTCTGCATGGATTGCAGTGTTGTAATGCAGTGCTGCTTTCACTGATGGTGTTCACAGAATTAAACCTAGACCAGTAATAATGCAGCTGGCCTCACCGAATGACCAAATTACATAATGCCTCTTTTGGTCCCAAGTGAGGTAATCTGGTTGTCAAGTGATGTCATTTGGACTATTTCTGGTCCTGCTTAGTCCAGATCTTAACACGTCCCTGATGGGTGACTACACTGCTTTGATAACCATTAAAAAATAATAATGACTAATAAGCCAATGCGTTCAGTTTTGTTTCCAGACCATTTGTCCACAGTGGAACATAGCTGACATAGCTTCCATTAAATGAATAACAAATATCGTACTTTAATGGCACGTTGCTATGTGATTGTGCTAACCTGGCTAACTGCACTCAGAGATGATTACTTTATTTCAGAAGTACTAACTGCCTTGGATGACATAATATATACTTATTAAGCATGCAATAAGCAATTGTTGATAAAGTAATTGATTCATTGAGTCATAAAGTGTTAACCTGCTAAACCCTCAAAGAGCATGATGATTTGAAAAACGGAAATTAATTTAATGGATTGCCTAACTGCATAGAATAATTCGACGACTGCCACATTAATAATACTAAAGATACTGGATATTAATTTTCCAATTAAAAACTGTTTAGACAGTGACTTATTGTGTTTATATTGCAGTATGAAATGCATTCATTGTTCTTATTTCCTTGTCTTCTGAATGGTTACAGACAACCAGTTCATTACATTTGATTTCAGCAACTACAACCTCTTCTACAACAACTACAACAACAACAACCAGGATAACAACACCCAGGCAACCTTCTCCAACGAGAGCAAGGACTGAGCCAACAACAGTTACATCATCATCATCTTCAACAACAGCAACATCAGTGACAACAACCAGTACCACTGTCCCCCCGTCAAGAAGGCACACTCCCCCAGCCAGTCCCCCGGGGAGGGACACCCTGTCTTCCACTGAGATCACCCCGAGTGTCACAGAGTCTGGCAGGCCTCGCCCCTTCTGCAGAAGGGAGTTTCGGAGGAATATTACTTGGCCAAGAACAGAGCCCAATGTGGTTGTAAACAGAGATTGCCCTCACAAGATGAAAGGTATATATGTTTTCTGACTGGTATGGTTTTGAAAGGATAAAATGTGAAAAATATATATATATCAGATTGTTTGAAAAGATAAAATTAAAATGGGTCAGGTGCTTGGGAGTAAATTTAAAATGTTTCTTTTGAATTTGATTGATGCAGCAGTATGTACAACTCAGTGTATGAATGATAGTAAAAAGTTATCCTTTCAATCCTATGGCTTTTTTATGCCATGATCAATCACATAAGCAGTTTATCTTTAAAACAGATAATTATATTTTGAGCCTCTATTTATTTATTTATTTATTTTTTTCAATTTATCAGTCATCAAGTGTTAGCAATGTATATGCAATAAGGTTACGAGGGGATGGCATTGAATTTCATTTGGCTCAAAGGGAATTCATAATTGATCTAGAAAATATATTTAAATATAGTGATGTGAATGGATAGAAAAAATGAGGTAGGCATTTAGCAAGAGGAAAAGCACTGAAGTGTGATCAAAACTTAATATTAATGGAGTCACTCATCATTTTAGGTCAGGCCTTTTGGAAATGCAGTGAGATGGGGGAGTGGATAGATCTACCTGACCTCAGTGACTGTATATCTGATGCTTTGACGAGGATTAAGAATGACGTAAGTTCGGCTTCTGTCAGTACTCTCAATTGAAAAAATGAAAAGTAAGAATGGCAAAAAAAAAAAAAAAGAACGAAAGTACATTTTTTAATGGATTATATCATTTGACATTAGTTGTTTTATCAAAAGTTAGTATTGAATTCAGTTTCATACATTTCAACATTAGGAATAAGAAAATGTCAGAATTTTTTTTTTCACCATCTCTAAATTTTTATGCAGTAAACTGACCAAATTAACACTGTCTATGCATCTTGACACAGGAGTAAAAATGTATCTTGTTCCAGGTTGAATCAGGCCAGGTTTCCATAGAAGATATTTCCAGTGATCTGGCCACAGCTACAGCCAGTCAGGACTTGTATGGTGGGGATGTCATCAGCTCTGCCTTAGTCATGATGCAGATGGCAGAAGGACTCAAGACCGAGCTGAAAAACACCAAGGAAAAGAATAGGGTGATGAAGGCGACCAATGTTACTAAGGTAAATCAAGTCATGTCGTTTTATATTTCTGAGTATTCAAATTGATACACATGGATGCAAATTGTGAAAGCTTGGTCCAAAAGCTTTTGGCTATTTTTCTTTGGCCTTGGTCACTCTGGTGTGCTATGTTGATGACATTTTTCAAGTTGTTTTTAAATATTAGGATTTTTCTGTCAAAAATCAGCAGTTAACACAATCCTCCATGACTTGACCAGTGCTTATTCAGATATCCTGTTTGTGATTTCATTTTTTTTTTTTTTTTGAAATTTTTTTTCAGAATTTTGTGAGGTCAAGCAGTAACTTGCTGTCCCCCAAGCAGAAAAATGGCTGGAAGGATTTGAAGAGAGAAAGGCAGGTAGAGACAGCCACTACACTGTTGAAGCTGTTGGAGAGGTCAGCATTTGAGGTGGCAGAAACCCTGAATGTAGAAACTCCAGCAGTAAGGAGTACTGATGAAAATGTTGGTGAGTGTTGTTTTCCTTTTATTACACTTTATAAGGTTTGGGGTTAGAAGGCAAGTCTTAAAAAAAAGAAAGAATTGAGTAACACATGAACTTTTTTCAAAATGGAACAGACCTTAGTTTTTACCAAGTGTAATGTGTTATGGGGATATAAGGCTGAATAGACATTTAAAAAAATAGGTTTTTTATGTCAAGACAGTAACTGGCATGTACATGAAAAAAGTTGCCTTATTAGTTGAGCATAAGTCTCAATCATAGTTTTCATCTTTTAGATTAATTATATAACTTCTGTTCTCTTTTTAGCCATAGAAATAGAAGTGGTTAATCCTTTCTCAGACCAGAGACTTCAGCGGGTATACCCCACTCCTGAACAACAAGCTGTGCTCAATTCCAGCGACTCCATTACTCTGCCAGAGTCAGCCATTGTGGATAATGCTGATAAAGATGGTAAGACTATTCATTATTTCACTGATTTTAATGATGTTAAGAATCAGTAAGACCACTTTCTTTTCCTGATTTAATTTTTAGGTGACTTAAATTATCTTGAGGGTTTTGAATTAATTGTTTTCTCTGTTTCATGCACAAATTCTTTCTTTATAGAGTACCGGGGAACAGGCAGGTAAAACTACCCACTGCTGCTAATATCTGCTTTTGCAAATAGAAAATTCACTTGTCTCTAATTAACTGTTTGAATTTTGTATTTTATCCTCATGATATCAAATAATTTAATTTCCAGGTGTTGTGAAAATTGTATTCATCTCGTATAGCAACCTAAATCAGTGGCTGAAGCCAGACAGCGCCAAGAATGAGACAGACGTGAGCATAGTGAACAGCAAGATCTTGTCACTGTCCTTGAACAACAAGGATGGGGACATTCAGCTGGCGCAGCCCATACACATGAGCTTCCGCCATGTGAATGTGAGTCAGTAGGCTTTTAAAATGATAATTTGTCATCCAAAAAGTAGATTCTGGTTCCAGTTCAGAATCAGCAAAATTTTATATAAGATTTGCTGGGTAGTGCTAACACTCGCCAATTAAGCCAAATGCTAAAACTGACTTAAATTGGCTAAAGAAAAAGGGCTTGATTTGACATGTTTTAGCCAAATTATAACCATTTTGGTAACAAATTGACAAAAATGTGGTGATTTGGCTAACCAAAAAAAATTGCTAGCGCTACCCCAGATTTGTGGAATTATGATCAGATAGTACATTTTTAACACATATTTTCCACCTTTTTAGCTAAATTGCAGTTGTGGATTAAAAGATTTATGTAATTTTTTTCATCCAGAAGTAAAATAAAGATTTAATTGAAATTTAAAAGGTGTATTGAGAAATATCATATTATGAGTATGTTACTTATTTCAAGGGAAGCATGGCATGAACAAGGACAGTCAACATGAAGCATGATGTTCATGTTGAGACATGATCGTACATTGAAATTAACTTTAACAATTAATCCTGCCTCACTTACCACTACTTAGAGACATTCTTTCATTTTAAGGTGACTAATGTGGAAAAACCAAAATGCTCCTTCTGGAACTTTTCCAGGTAAAACTAACTTGTTTTAATAATTGCTCATCAGATCATAGTATACCTATTTTTTCTTGCACATCTGTAAAGAAACACTCATGATCAAAAGTGATTACTTAATTTGGTCACCCTGTTCTGTGTGTGCCGTCAAGAATACCTTACCTGTCCAATTTTCAGTGATGAGAATGGTGCCTGGTCTGGCAGGGGATGTAGTGTGGTGACTTCCAATGATACACATACACAGTGTGAGTGTAACCACCTTACCAACTTTGCTGTACTCATGGATGTTGTAGGGACAGAGGTAAATGTCCTTTGATATTATGGAAAAATTGAATCCAAAGAGTAAATGTTGAATACAAATTTTTGTGTAATGTATGGGAGTAAACATGAATTTAACAAAAAAAAAAAAAAAAAAAAAGGCAAAAACAAGAAAATGAAATGTGCAAGTTATAATTTTTGTAGTGAATAGGAAAAACAATTTGGCAATAAAAAGAAAGTTTAATCAAAATAGACTTTGAAAACAAATCAGTATTGATCAATTATTACGTCTTAATTACTTTTTTTTGAAAAGGTAAAAAGATTCTAAGCATTGATAATTTCACCTCCCTTCATTTCACATCTACATGAAAAGTTATATTCATTGTTATTTTCGGGGCTAATTTTCAGCTTCCAGAACACCATGAAGTGGCATTACAAGTTATCACATATTTTGGGTGCATCATTTCCATCGTCTGCCTGTTTCTAACGTGGTTGACCTTCATGGTCTTCAGGTAAGAAATGCCAAACTTACTTATACCACAGCAGAATGAAAAATCCAGATGTGTTGTGTCTAGTATACATGTACATCCAGGGGCGGATCCAGAGATATTTTCTGACAGTCTTCCAAATTATCTTTGTTGATCCATCCTCATTTTTGACCGTCTTCCGACAGAAAAAGTTAGATACCCGTCTATATAAAATCTTGAAAAGACTTGAAATTCTGACCGTCTTCCGGAAGACCCAGAAGACGGCCTAAATCCGCCCCTGACATCATGCATGCATGTGAGCTACACCAAATCTGGATCTATAGTTTTCAGTATTACACCCCATTCTCATAGATTAGATCGACCTACATTGGATCGACCTAACTCCCTGGGGGTTCACGCTAAATAGCTGTCAGCCGGGCGGACACGAAAGTTAATTACCCCTTAAAGCTTGTAGTAGGCGGGGACGGACACTTACGGGGGATTATCTGACAGTAATCTAGTGAGACTCCCCGCGGTGATAGATCGATCTAAAAGTTGTGAGAACAGAGCCTTAGTTCTTGTGTTGGTCTGCCCTACTCACCAGCAAGGTATTTTTATAACATTATCAGAAATAATAAGTAATGAATGTGATTTGATCTTTGTTTTGGTGTTGGTCAAGTGGGTGAGGCAAAAATATTTTGTTGTGTTTGATACTTGTATATAAGATGTGGCAATGGAATTTGTCTGATTCTTGGATATTTCCACATATATTAACTAATGTGATTTTGTAATAGCATACAGGCAGTGAAGAAAAATCGTTCATTACATGATTAAAGAATACTAGGTTTATTGTTGTTTGATCTTTTATATTTTCAGAAATCTTAAGAGTGAACGCACATCCATCCACAAGAACTTGGTGTTTTCATTGTTCTTTGCTGAAATCATTTTTCTTTGCGGAATACAACAGACTGATCATCCAGTAAGTAAACCATATTTGGACAAAATGATCAGATAGACAGAAATGATTAAAATATCAGTTAATAAAATAGTGTTACTGATGTGGCTGATTATGGTCATTATAATTGTACATTCTAATAACCAAACTCTCAATCTCTTGGACACATTGTCATTTGATAAATTTTGGAATTCTTTTTAATAGTGCTCTCTCTTTGCAGCCTGAAAAATTCTTATCATTCATTACTGAAAAAAGTATCCAAACTTCTAGTCAGAACTTTTCAGTGGAATTTCTGCACTAGTTATTCACCCTCTATACCTTAAAGGTGAAAAACGATCTCACTTAAATTAACTGCCTTCCAGGTTGTGTGTTCGGTTATAGCAGGCTTCCTCCATTTCTTCTTCCTGGCAGCATTTGGTTGGATGTGTCTGGAAGGAATCCAGCTCTACTCTATGCTCATTCAAGTGTTTGAAGGCAAGAAGTCAAGACTGGTCTGGTTTTATCTGGCAGGATATGGTGAGTGGTTTTTTAGTTTCACTGCAGGCATTGATTCTTAGTTGGGTTAAATCTGTGTAGGGATATAATCAAAGAAATGCACTTAAAAGTGAAATATTTTTGATTTTTAATTTTCATTAAATTTTGAGATTATTCATTATTCATGAAACATTCAAAAAAAAAAATTAAGGTAAACTATTGATGTTATAAAACTTGGTTGTGAGATTCAAATGCTGATTTTAAGATATTGATTTAATTAGATATTCTAAGAATTTCACTGGACAATAGCCCCATACTGTGTCTGTTGCCTGTTATTTGATCAAAGATTTAAAAAACATTTTTAGGTATTCCTGCAGTAATAGTAGGCATCTCAGCTGCTGTGGACTACAAAGGCTATGGCACAGATTACTAGTGAGTAGAACTGAACAAATTTATTATGATTTATAACATTAGTAATAGTTGAAGTAGTATGAAATGTTTATTGTTCATCTTTTAAACTGATTGCATTCTGTGAGAGTCCCTGCGGAGTTGGATCAATCTACATGGACTGATGGTGTCTATGAGAATGGAGTTTAAGACCTTAGTCAAATCAAGTGGTAAACTTAACTTATCCAACCTGTTCTGGTAAACTAGACTAGTGAAGTATACTGCTGAATGTGAAAATGGTCTTTTTACATCATCGACTCTTTTAATGAGAATGATACAAAGAATAAGATACATTATTGAATGTATCTTGGGTTTTTGTGAATTATTCAGCTATATTTATATTATTTCAGCTGCTGGCTAAGAGCAGACAACTACTTTGTTTGGAGTTTTGTGGCTCCAGTGTGTCTAGTTATCACTGTAAGTATTGCACCGACATATCCATTTATTTTTATTGTTATTTCTGACATTTGGTAGGAGAGTTTGGGATTGCTCAATGCTTGAGAAGGGTTATGTTTTTACTTTGAATTCTGTGGCTAGGTCGTTTAGGAAACAAGATAATTTGATCTTGAAACATTATTAACAAATTATATAGCACTTAATTTTCATTTTTGACATCTTAGTGGTTGGCATTTGGATTGTATAACAATGCAAGATAGGGAAGTTTTTGGACAATTTTCCCTCTAAACCCTGATGCTTAATAGCATAGAATTATTGAATTATTGTCATTAGTTGTCATTAATTTTTAGGTGAATATAGTAATGCTGAGTATAGCAGTGTACATGATGTGTCGTCATGCTACTACAGCCACCTCCATCAAACACAAGGAGAAGACTAGGATGGAGAATATCAGGTAATTAGATAACTAGCAACCAGGAGGATAGGTATAGGAGCTCAAGAGAAACTTTACAGTCAGAATGGTCTTTCTTGTAATCAAGAGCTTTGTGGTCTATCCATCTTGAGGTTCATTGAGCCAATTTTTTTAAAGAAAAATATTCCCAAATATTCATGCACTGCATTTCTAAAATTTGGCGTACACATTGGGGGGAGATTTGACTTTAATGAGAATAAATATTACACCAGCATGGAATGTAAAAGACCACTAATAGAAAAAAATGATATTATAAAGTATTATCTCCCGAAGTAAAGCCAATTCAATGTTTTACTTACTAGGGATTGGATAAAAGGCTCCATAGTCCTGGTTGTGCTGTTAGGGCTGACCTGGGCCTTTGGGATGCTGTACATCAATGAGGAGTCTGTGGTCATGGCTTATGTGTTCACCATCCTCAACAGTCTGCAGGGACTCTTCATCTTCATCTTCCACTGCCTGATGAATGAGAAGGTAAATTGTGATAAAATAATATTGATGATTATAATAATAATAATAACAATAATAATAATAATAGTATCTTCTATGTCGCATTCCATAAAAAACTTCATGTGTCTTATAATAAAAACTAATATGGTATATAATTAATTATAAGGAAAATTAAGAAATTTTGAAACAGTCTAACCTAAACTTGTTCATTTAAGATAAAATCAAAATGCATTTAAGTCAAAAACAGGTCTGCACTTGGAGCTGTGAAATAGTAGATTGTGGTTGTTGAGACTGGAAACACTGTGGTTGTTACAATCACTTAAAATTGTATCAATATTTTAACAGAAACTTCTAAATTTTGAATTGCTTAATAAATTAATGTCAGGTTCAAAAGGAATACAAGAAGTGTGCACGGCGTACAAGATGGCTACCAAACTGTGTAAGGGTGGGATATGGTGGACAGCAGAAACTGTACAATATCTCCACTTCTCCTTCACCATCCAGCTCTTCCACTGGGCCTGGAAATGTAAGTCAATTTTTAAAAAATCTGTTGCATTAAAAAGTGTATTGAAAAGNCAATTGGCTGCAGAAGTCTTGCATGACGTCCATTCCAATTCGTTGTTTCAGAGGGCTACCTTCCTTCTGAGGCCCCAGTTGAAACCTTGTTTCATTTAAGCACTACTACCCAGCCCGCTTTATTTCATAGTAAGTAGGAGGGCGTGATGTTGAGGATTTGAGGATGCAGTGCCCTTGGAGATGCAGCATGGCTACAGTAGCGACCTAGACATTTCACCATTTTTTTTTTCATTAGCGCGCCTGTGCCTGAGCATGTTTGTGGCTTGATTATCTATGTGTGCCCTTTATCTTGTATGCAGCTCAAGCTAAATATAGAACATTTATTTATTTTCTTCTTTGCACCACAGTTTTCTCTTGAATTTACTAGCTGAAGACAAAAGATGGACATCTAAGTCATGCCTTTAACTTGTGTTTTGTCTTTTGACACGTCTTTCTGGAGTTTATGGACCAAAAATGGGCAGTTTCTCTACTTACGGCCTGTATTTCATTTATACACAGTGTTTCATTCCTGATTCTTTTACTCACCGCAGACAGAACAGTAACTTCCTATCCTTAAGATTTGAGGTTTCTTTTCAATCATTTTAGGTCAAATTTAATGTGTATCTGATATGTTAAAAAGCAAACCTAACATTAAACTTGTGGAATAATACAATTGTGCTCCTTTTTTATAACAATTTTGGTTTCAAAACATTATCTCATCTAACTGTAACATGTGGACCTTTTGATATGAAAATTTAAACATTTTCTGTCCTCTTTTTTTCTACAATGACCACTTTTAACTGTGCACATTTAATGCTTGCTATATCTGCATGGATTGCAGTGTTGTAATGTGGTGCTGCTTTCACTGATGGTGTTCACAGAATTAAACCTAGACCAGTAATAATCCAGCTGACCTCACCGAATGACCAAATTACATCATGCCTCTTTTGGTCCGACATGAAGTAATCTGGTTGTTAAGTGATGTCATTTGGACTATTTCTGGTCCTGCTTAGTCCAGATCTTAACACGACCCTGATGAGTGACTACACTGCTTTGATAACCATTAAAAAATAATAATGACTAATAAGCCAATGCGTTCAGTTTTGTTTCCAGACCATTTGTCCACAGTGGAACATAGCTGACATTGCTTCCATTAAATGAATAACAAATATCGTACTTTAATGGCACGTTGCTATGTGATTGTGCTAACCTGGCTAACTGCACTCAGAGATGATTACTTTATTTCAGAAGTACTAACTGCCTTGGATGACATAATATATATACTTATTAAGCATGCAATAAGCAATTGTTGATATAGTAATTGATTCATTGAGTCATAAAGTGTTAACCTGCTAAACCCTTGAAGAGCATGATGATTTGAAAAACGGAAATTAATTTAATGGATTGCCTAACTGCATAGAACAATTCAACGGCTGCCACATTAATAATACTAAAGATACTGGATATTAATTTTTCAATTAAAAACTGTTTAGACAGTGACTTATTGTGTTTATATTGCAGTATGAAATGCATTCATTGTTCTTATTTCCTTGTCTTCTGAATGGTTACAGACAACCAGTTCATTACATTTGATTTCAGCAACTACAACTTCTTCTACAACAACTACAACAACAACAACAAGGAGAACAACACCCAGGCAACCTTCTCCAACGAGAGCAAGGACCGAGCCAACAACAGTTACATCATCATCATCATCTTCAACATCAGTGACAACAACCAGTACCACTGTCCCCCCGTCAAGGAGGCACACTCCCCCAGCCAGTCCCCCGGGGAGGGACACCCTGTCTTCCACTGAGATCACCCCGAGTGTCACAGAGTCTGGCAGGCCTCGCCCCTTCTGCAGAAGGGAGTTTCGGAGGAATATTACTTGGCCAAGAACAGAACCTAATGTGGTCGTAAATAGAGATTGCCCTCACAAGATGAAAGGTATATATTTTTCTGACTGGTATGGTTTTGAAAGGATAAAATGTGAAAAATATATACATATCAGATTGTTTGAAAAGATAAAATTGAAATGGGTCAGGTGCTTGGGAGTAAATTTAAAATGTTTCTTTTGAATATGATTGATGCAGCAGTATGTCCAACTCAGTGTATGAATGATAGTAAAAAGTTATCCTTTCAATCCTATGGCTTTTTTATGGCATGATCAATCACATAAGCAGCAGTTTATCTTTAAAACAGATAATTATATTTTGAGCCTCTATTTATCTTTTTTTTTTTTCAATTTATCAGTCATCAAGTGTTAGCAATGTGTATGCAATAAGGTTACGAGGGGATGGCATTGAATTTCATTTGGCTCAAAGGGAATTCATAATTGATCTAGAAAATACATTTAAATATAGTGATGTGAATGGATAGAAAAATGAGGTAGACATTTAGCAAAAGGAAAGGCTCTGAAGTGTGATCAAAATATAATATTAATGGAGTCATTCATCATTTTAGGTCAGGCCTTTTGGAAATGCAGTGAGACGGGGGAGTGGATAGATCTACCTGACCTCAGTGACTGCATATCTGATGCTTTGACAAGGATTAAGAATGACGTAAGTTCTGCTTCTGTCAGTACTCTCAATTGAAAAAGTGAAAAGTAAGAATGGCAAAAAAAAATAAATAAATAAAAAAAATGAAAGTACATTTTTTAATGGATTATATCATTTGACATTTAGTTGTTTTATCAAAAGTAAGTATTGAATTCAGTTTCAGACATTTCAACATAAGGAATAAGAAAATGTCAGAAATTTTTTTTCACCATCTGTAAATTTTTATGCAGTAAACTGACCAAATTAACACTGTCTATGCATCTTGACACAGCAGTAAAAATGTATCTTGTTCCAGGTTGAATCAGGCCAGGCTTCCATAGAAGATATTTCCAGTGATCTGGCCATAGCTACGGCCAGTCAGGACCTGTATGGTGGGGACGTCATCAGCTCTGCCTTAGTTATGATGCAGATGGCAGAAGGACTCAAGACTGAGCTGAAAAACACCAAGGAAAAGAACAGGGTGATGAAGGCGACCAATGTTACTAAGGTAAATCGAGTAATGTTGTTTTATATTTGTGAGTATTCAAATTGATACTCACGGCTGCAAATTGTGAAGGCTTGGTCCAAAAGCTTTTGGCCATATTTCTTTGGCCTTGGTCACTCTGGTGTGTTATGTTGATGACATCTTTCAAGTTGTTTTTAAATATTAAAATATTTGTCATATCAGCAGTTAACACAATCCCCCATGACTTCACCAGTGCATGTTCAGATTTACTGTTTGTGATTTCATTTTTTATCAATTTTTTTATTCAGAATTTTGTGAGGTCAAGCAGTAACTTGCTGTCCCCCAAGCAGAGAAATGGCTGGAAGGATTTGAAGAGAGAAAGGCAGGTAGAGACGGCCACTACACTGTTGAAGCTGTTGGAGAGGTCAGCATTTGAGGTGGCAGAAACCCTGAATGTAGAAACTCCAGCAGTTAGGAGTACTGATGAAAATGTTGGTGAGTGTTGTTTTCCATCTATTACACTTGATAATGGTTGAAGTTAGAAGGCAAGTCTTTTTTGAAAATAAAAAAAAAAAGACTTGAATAAAACAAGAACTTTTTTTCAAAATGGAACAGACCCTAGTTTTTACCAAGTGCAATGTGTTATAGGGGATATAAGGCTGAATGGGCATTTAAAAATGTAGGTTTTTTATGTCAAGACGGTAATTGGCATGTACATAAAAAGTTGCCTTATTAGTTGAGCATTGATCTCAATCAGAGTTTTCTATTTTTAGATTAATTGTTTAAATTCTGTTCCCTGTTTAGCCATAGAAATAGAAGTGGTTAATCCTTTCTCAGACCAGAGACTTCAGCGGGTATACCCCACTCCTGAACAACAAGCTGTGCTTAATTCCAGCGACTCCATTACTCTGCCAGAGTCAGCCATTGTGGATAATGCTGATAAAGATGGTAAGACTATTCATTATTTAACTGATTTTAATGATGTTAAGAATCAGTAAGACCACTTTCTTTTCCTAATTTAATTTTTAGGTGACTTAAATTATCTTGAGGGTTTTGAATTAATTGTTTTCTCTGTTTCATGCACAAATTCTTACTTTATAGAGTACCGGGGAACAGGCAGGTAAAACTACCCACTGCTGCTAATATCTGCTATTGCAAGTAGAAAATTCACTTGTCTCTAATTAACTGTTTGAATTTTGTATTTTATCCTCATGATATCAAATAATTTAATTTCCAGGTGTTGTGAAAATTGTATTCATCTCGTATAGCAACCTAAACCAGTGGCTGAAGCCAGACAGCGCCAAGAATGAGACAGACGTGAGCATAGTGAACAGCAAGATCTTGTCACTGTCCTTGAACAACAAGGACAGGGAAATTCAGCTGGCGCAGCCCATACACATGAGCTTCCGCCATGTGAATGTGAGTCAGTAGGCTTTTAAAATGATAATTTGTCATCCAAAAAGTAGATTCTGGTTCCAGTTCAGAATCAGCAAAATTTTATATAAGATTTGCTGGGTAGCGCTAACACTCGCCAATTAACCCAAATGCTAAAACTGACTTAAATTGGCTAAAGAAAAAGGGCTTGATTTGACATGTTTTAGCCAAATTATAACCATTTTGGTAACAAATTGACAAAAATGTGGTGATTTGGCTAACCAAAAAAAAATTGCTAGCGCTACCCCAGATTTGTGAAATTATGATCAGATAGTACATATTTAACACATATTTTCCACCTTTTTAGCTGAATTGCAGTTGTGGATTAAAAGATTTATGTACTTTTTTTCATCCAGAAGTAAAATAAAGATTTAAATGAAATTTAAAAGGTGTATTGAGAAAGATCATATTATGAGTATGTTACTTATTTCAAGGGAAGCATGGCATGAACAAGGACAGTCAACATGAAGCATGATGTTCATGTTGAGACATGATCGTACATTGAAATTAACTTTAACAATTAATCCTGCCTCACTTACCACTACTTAGAGACATTCTTTCATTTTAAGGTGACTAATGTGGAAAAACCAAAATGCTCCTTCTGGAACTTTTCCAGGTAAAACTAACTTGTTTTAATAATTGCTCATCAGATCACAGTATACCTATTTTTTCTTGCACATCTGTAAAGAAACACTCATGATCAAAAGTGATTACTTAATTTGGTCACCCTGTTCTGTGCGTGCCGTCAAGAATACCTTACCTGTCCATTTTTCAGTGATGAGAATGGTGCCTGGTCTGGCAGGGGATGTAGTGTGGTGACCTCCAATGATACACATACACAGTGTGAGTGTAACCACCTCACCAACTTTGCTGTACTCATGGATGTTGTAGGGACAGAGGTAGATATGTTGTTTGATATTATGGAGAAATTTAATCCAAAGAATAATTGTTGAACACAAATTTTTGTGTAATGTATAGGAGTAAACATGAATTTAACAAAAAAAAAAAAAAAATGCAAAAACAAGAAAATGAAATGTGCAAGTTAAAATTTTTGTAGTGAATAGGAAAAACAATGTGGCAGTAAGAAGAAAGTTTAATCGAAATAGACTTTGAAAACAAATCAATATTGTTCAATTATTACGTCTTAGTTTTTTTTTTTTTTTTTTGAAAACGTAAAAAGATCCTAAGCATTGATAATTTCACCTCCCTTCATTTCACATCAGCATGAAAAGTTATATTTATTGTTATTTTCGGGGCTAATTTTCAGCTTCCAGAACACCATGAAGTGGCATTACAAGTAATCACATATTTTGGGTGCATTATTTCCATCGTCTGCCTGTTTCTAACGTGGTTGACCTTCATGGTCTTCAGGTAAGAAATGCCAAACTTACTTATACTGCGGCAGATGTCAAGAATGAAAAATCCAGATGTGATTTGTCTAGTATACATGTACATCACACATGGATGTGAGCTACAACAAATCTGGGTCTTTGGTTTTCAATATTAGTTCTTGTATTAGTCCAATAAGCTATTGGCCAGCAATGTGTTTTTATAACATATTATTAAAATAAATGTGAAATGAATGTGGTTTTATTGTTCTGTTGTCGTTGGACTAGGAGGTGATACCTGTATAAAAGTTATGGTGATAGAATTTGGTCTGATTCTTGGATTTTTCCACATACATTTACATTTACATAATATGATAAACTTTTGTAATAGCATACAGACAGCTAATAAATAAAGCAATTTACAGGATTAAACAATACTAGGCTTATGATTGTTTGATCTTTTATATTTTCAGAAATCTGAAGAGTGAACGCACATCCATCCACAAGAACTTGGTGTTTTCATTGTTCTTTGCTGAAATCATTTTTCTTTGTGGAATACAACAGACTGATCATCCAGTAAGTGAACCATATTTGGACAAAATGATCAGATAGATAGTAGTGATAAAAATATCAGTTTATAAAATAGTGTCACTGATGTGGCTGATTCTGGTCATAATAGTTGTACATTTTTAATAACCAAACTCAATCTCTTGGACACACTGTCATGTGATAAATTTTGGAACTCTATTAATAGTGCTCTCTCTTTGCAACCTGAAAAGTGAAGTTCTTATCATTCATTAACAGAGAAAGTATTCAAACATTCAGTCAGAACTTTGCAGTGGAATTTCTGCACCAGGTATTCACCCCCTATTCCTTCAAGGTGAAAAACAATCTCATTTTATTTAACTGCTTTCCAGGTTGTGTGTTCAGTTATAGCAGGCTTCCTCCATTTCTTCTTCCTGGCAGCATTTGGTTGGATGTGTCTGGAAGGAATCCAGCTCTACTCTATGCTCATTCAAGTGTTTGAAGGCAAGAAGTCAAGACTGGTCTGGTTTTATCTGGCAGGATATGGTGAGTGGTTTTTTACTTTCACTGCAGGCATTGATTCTTGCTTGTGTTAAATCTGTGTAGGGATGTCATTGTAGAAATCCAGTGAAATATTTTTGATTTTAAATTTTTATTAAATTTTGAGATTATTCATTATTTATGAAACAGCATATTTTGGGTTTATTCCATGATAGTGTATTATCATGATAATATTTTCAAATTTTTTAAAGCTAAACTATTAATATTATAAAACTTGGTTATGAGATTCAGCTTTAAGATGTTGATTTAATTACATATTCTAAGAATTTAACTGGACAATTCAATTGCCTGTTATTTGATCAAAGATTTAAAAAATATTTTTAGGTATTCCTGCAGTTATAGTAGGCATCTCAGCTGCTGTTGACTACAAAGGCTACGGCACAGATTACTAGTGAGTAAAACTGAACAAATTTTTACGATTAATAATATTAGTAGTAGTTGAAGTAGTATGAAATGTTTAATGTACCAGAAGAATACATGTTAATTTTTTAAATTGATGGCATTCAGTGAGAGTCCCTGCAGAGTTGGATCAATCTACATGGACTGATGGTGTCTATGAGAATGGGTTTAAGACAGTAAAATCAAGTGGTAAACTTAACATATCCAGCCTGTGCTGGTAAACTTTAAAAGACTAGTAAAGTATACTGCTGAATGTGAAAATGTATCTTGTTTTTTTTTTTTTTTTAATTGTTCAGCTATATTTATATTATTTCAGCTGCTGGCTTAGAGCAGACAACTATTTTGTTTGGAGTTTTGTGGCTCCAGTGTGTCTAGTTATCACTGTAAGTATTGCACCAACATATTTATTTATTTTTATTATTATTTCTGACATTTGGTAGGAGAGTTTGGGATTGCTCGTTGCTTGATTTATGTTTTTACTTTCAATTCTGAAACTAGATCATTTATGATAAAGGACAGTTTGAGCTTGAAACATTATTAACAAATGAAATATTTATTTATTTTCATTTCTTACATAAATCTTAGTTGTTGGCATTATTGGAATTGTATAGTGCAAGATAGGGGCATTTTTGGACATCTTTTTCTTTCTAAATCCTGATGCTTAATTGCATGGGATTTACTTTTTACTTTTCATTGAGTTATTATCGTTAGTAACTGTTTATTTTTTAGGTGAATATAGTAATGCTGAGTATAGCAGTGTACATGATGTGTCGCCATGCTACTACAGCCACCTCCATCAAACACAAGGAGAAGACCAGGATGGAGAATATCAGGTAATTAGAGAATACAAATAGAAGGATGGGTATAGTAGCTCAAGAGAAATCTAACAGTCAGAATGGTCTTTCTAGTAATCAAGGGCTTTGTGGTCTATCCATCTTAAGGTTTATCGATCCAATTTTTTAAAAGAAAAAATTGCCCAATATATTCAAATACTGCATTTCTAAAATTTGACATACTTATGGGGGGGGATTTGATTTTACTTATATTTCATCAGCATGGCATGTAAAAAAAACACAAAGAGAAAAAATGATATAATGATGTCATTTTCTCCCCAAGTACAGCCAATTCAATGTTTTACTTACTAGGGATTGGATTAAAGGCTCCATAGTCCTGGTTGTGCTGTTAGGGCTGACCTGGGCCTTTGGGATGCTGTACATCAATGAGGAGTCTGTGGTCATGGCCTATGTGTTCACCATCCTCAACAGTCTGCAGGGACTCTTCATCTTCATCTTCCACTGCTTGATGAACGAGAAGGTAAATTGTGATGAAAAAATGATGATAATAAAAATGATAATAGTATGATTATCTTCTAAAGGGCATTCCATGAAAATCTCCCATGTGCCTTACAACAAACACTAAGATGGTATCAAACTAAAAAAGAAATTTTGAAGCAATCTTACCTAAACTTGCTCAGTTAACTTCAAGATAAAATCAAAATCTGGTAAAAATTTGTCATTGTATTTTTGTTAATTCATAGATACCTTCTATTTGGTAGTGGTTAGAAACACTTAAATAACAACTGACTAATTCACAATGATATTTATGTGTAGTTGGTGAAAACAGGTCTACACTTGGAGCTGTGAAATAGTAGATTGCGGTTGTTGAGACTGGAAACATTGTGGTTGTTACAATCAATTAAAATTGTATCAATATCTCAACAGAAACCTCTAAATTTTGAATTCCTTAATTAATTAATGTCAGGTTCAAAAGGAATACAAGAAGTGTGCACGGCGTACAAGATGGCTACCAAACTGTGTAAGGGTGGGATATGGTGGACAGCAGAAACTTTACAATATCTCCACTTCTCCTTCACCGTCCAGCTCTTCCACTGGGCCTGGAAATGTAAGTCGAATTTTTAAAAAATCTCTTGCATTAAAAAGTGTATTGAGAAGGTCAGTTATAGATACAAAATAATGCTGTTCTTGGTAAATTTATTTCCAAGTATCACACCTGCTGTCCTGCAGCATATAATAAAAAAGTTTTTAAACATTTTTGAGTCAGACAGGTGATAATTACTGTCAAAATTTGAAAGAAAATTGTTTGAATATATTTCCCAAAACAATCAGAAAAAGACGATTGTTAAGTTCAGAACAGTAAGCTATATATAAGAAAATGTGCATATCTTTTAGAGAAACTAAAATTGCCAAAACTTGAAAAAAAATATTGGTGTAGGTGAGATATTTGAACTTTGTGTAAAATAATCATAATATATTTTGTTTTTTCCACTGTCCTCTGCTAATGAATATATCATTGACTGTGTATTTGCAGTACTGGCAGAAGCTGTGGCCAGGCAAGAAAAGACGTCGCTCCAGTGGTTCCTCTGCCACAGGGAAGTCTAACACTAATAAGAGTAAGTCTTAGTAGGGTAAAATAGTGTATGTAGGTTGTTCAGACAGATATCCCATGTTCCCCTCTCCCTGTATTGCTCACATATACAAAAGGCTAGGAGAAATTTGTAAAAGTGAATAAGTTTTCATCTTTTGGTATCTCTTGGCTGCTCTACCACTAAACGTGGATTGTGCTGTGTTGCATTTTTTTGTGTGTGTACATGTTAATTTTTTTTTAATAATATTTTTTTAGAACTTTCATTATTGAAGCACTTGTACCAAAAAGATAAATATAAATCCTCTTTAACAAGGGACCTATATTATTTGAAAATGTTTTAAAAAGAGTGTAAATGAGTCTTTATTTTGATATATTAATATGTAACTTATATGCTTATTTCAGATCTCGTGGGACAACTCCACATTGTGAATGGCATCACGCCTATTCCTGAGGTGCTCATAGAGGACAGCTATGGAGGAATTAATGGAGATCTCTCCATGGTTGATGCATCAGTGGTGGACTCTGAACAGGTCACAGATTATTGTCACAATCACATGAGAGAAGATAGAAATGGCCATTATACAGAGAACCCATACATGCAGCCCACGTGTCTACATTACCCTAGGTGTCAGGAGCGTAGCCAAGTGGATCCAAATGGTCACAGAGTAGATCAAGACAGGCTTTCTAATGCTTCAACAGACAAAGGTGACTATCCGGACTCGGACTCAAGTGATGATGAAGATCTCAAACACAGATTAAGAGAGGAAAGACCTTTCAGTGAATATGAGGGCAAACCCTTGATTCCTAATGAGGAAGAGGCACAAGGGAGACACTTAATTATTAACAATAATAATAATTCACAAAGCTCCCCACGTCCACAACCAAAGAAACTCCTGGGGAAGAGTCTGAGTGATGCCCCGAGGTCACTCAATGACCTCATGGACAGAGACTTAACAGGGAGTGGAGAATCTGAATCCTTTAAGCGTTCCACTCCTAACTTAAAGTATGTGCCACTGGGGGAGTCCCCCAACAAAGAGCCAAGTGCCTCTGCACCATCTTCAATGCAAGGGCAGCATAAACACAGCCTGCCGAACTTAGCTAAAACAGAGACTGATTGCCCTCCTCCGCCATATTGTAGTGAGGAAGGACTGACGTATACTGACAGTTCAACAAGGAGGAAAAGACGTCTGGATTCTGATCCCCAAGTTGTATTCTATAACTCCAGACATGAGGGGAATTCACAATGTTAGTCCTTCTTTGTCCCTAAAAGTGGCCTTAAGAGACTTATAAATTCAAATATATGGATTTATTCATGCGCTAATTTTTTTATGAAGAGAAAAAAAACTTGCTGGTCAAGCTGTCTTTTCCATATTGTATATCAATTAAGATGATATATAGCCATAGTACATTTTAACCAATTATGGTATACCTGACGTGTATGTTGATAAATTCTGAAGATTTTTCCTGCTTTATAAATTTTGTTTCAGTACAAAAAGTTTTTATCATAGTCATAGGTATATTTTAAGTGCCAAATTATCATCATTCAAAGATTTCAGGTGAGGTTTCAAGACAATCAAAATTTGCTAGACAAGTAAAAGTATGTTTTTTAAGGATAAGTAATCAAACTGCATTCAGTAGGTAGAGTTTACTTTATGTACTTCATTATACTCTGCTGAATTCATAAATATGTTCATTGTATTTTTAAGAAAAAATGCATATTAATACATAAACCTATGTGTGGAAAATAGTTTCTGAATACTTACAGCATGCAAAAGCTGTAAAGTTTGAAAGTATGATGAATACATACAACTTATTCTGAGAAGAGCTTTAAGAAAACTTCTTACAAAAATGTCCTTCATAAATCAGATTTAACATGAGTTTATTCTTGGAAAATCTGACTCGGGGTGAAATGGCAAAGATTAGCTTCTCAGAGCCACTTTAAGGCTGACATTTGTTTGAAGATGAGTTTATATGCATTAGCTGCTATATGTAAGGAGTGATGCTGTATTTGATCATGTTTGATCCATTCATGTTATAAGTGATGTATGTTGACGTGGTATGGTTGGTATTCCAGGAAATGGTATACTAAACATGCTGCCTACCTTGCTGGAATCCTGGAATTATGCATATGTCATGTTTACACTGGGACAATTGGGCAACTCTGGTACGATCTAGGAGCGGACATGTTTGTGTTTGCATTTGAAAGATGTTTCACTGGTTGATGAATTTAGATACACTGTAAGAACAGTTTAATTTTAGACAAAGCAGTGTAAAATAATATGAAATGTTATAACTGTTTTTTTTTTTATTTTTAACACATATAGTGCTAAAATTCTGTCCATAGATTGATATATGCTAGTTAATTTACCTCAACATCAGGTGCAAATTCCGAAGTGCTAAAGGCATTCAAATGGATCATTTCTCAGCTGGCCAATTCTTGACCCATCAATTGAGACTGGTATAGAAGGCTTATAGGAAAATAGGAAGTACTTAGTACAACTGGATGGCTGATTTTGAATTTTAATGTCCGTCATCTGTCATGTTAATCCAAGAAGTGTCCTAGGGCAGGGTTTTTTGACAGTCATGGCTGTGTCTGGATGAAGGGCAACGACACCTTTTGATATACAGCCTTCCAGCCGTTTTGGCGATTTTGTCTCAGGCCTATAGGTCACAATTAGGAAAAGTAACTCAGAGATATAACCTCGAGTTGCCTTGTAAACTGTCCTGTCCCTGGAGGGGGTCTTAAATGTCAGTGTTTGCGGTAAGTCTGGTGTCTAATGACCTACACTGGAAGGCGACGGGATTGTCTTGTTCACCTGAGGCTTGTCGGACAGAACTTGTATGAAAGATGAAAATTGGCTGTCACCATATTTTTTAAAAAATGAATGTGTGAGTTCTATATTTGAGGGAGTGGAGGCAACTGTTGCTTCTTAAGTTAAATCTTTCAGATTTTGTTTCTTTTGAAGAATTATTTGTCTAACAAAGAACTTGTCCAGCTTTACTTCTTAATGAAGCAAATTTTACTGGTTACAATAGCTTTCTCCTGTGAGACCGCTTCATTTATTTAGAGCTTGCAGTAATGGGCCTTCAGTAAAATATTTTGTCGTTTCTCCATTTTCTAGAAAACCGCTTAATGATGCTGGGGCGATCTCTTGAGGTAGATTAATTTATATATATATCAAAGCATTCAATAGAAAAAGGTTTGAGCTTAATTTCCTGTTACAAACATTGTTGTCCCATTGGAATACTTATTGGTTGTTTCAAAAATGAGTCTTTTGTGCGTAATGTCATCATAGTATTTGGGCAGGTTAGTAAGACGGCAGCAAGAGGTAAAATTACCCTGAGATTCAGGACCTATCTCATACCGTTAGTTCAGGGCCCTCCCGTACCCTGCGCTTCGGGGCCTATTTTGTACGCTGTATATTTTGTTGCCGGTGGTGACAGTTTGTATTAGGGAAGTGCTGAGACTGGAATGAGCAGACTGGGCACAATGGCAAAGGATGAAAAACTTGTCTGGGCAGCAAGCCAAACCACTTAACTAATTTCCAGATCTTTTGTTAATCACACCTGGTCGCACCTCACCGATCACACATTCCGCATCCATGATTGACCAGGTGTGTTGCCGTTTCGTTCCGTTTGTGATTCTTTCTTCCAAGTTTTCTGAATGCCTCTGAGCGATTTTCATGCACTGTCTTGTCAGACACTAGAGGAGCTTCTCTCACACCTACAGATGTAGATGAGTTCATCTGGTGGTATAACTACTATGCAGGATAGGGCACTTTTGTTCTTGTGTAATGTTGTTGGAGCTTCCTTCTTCAAAATGCCATTTATATAAACATACCATAATTTTTGCCTGTATGTCGGTATTGAGCCCAAGTAATCATGTTGAATTTAGATCTGTACGTATTGCTAGTAGTAGTGAAAGAACATTGTTTTGAACGAACGTGCTTAAATGTTATACACTGACGTTTTTCTGACATTGTGAATTCTTTTCAGAGTATTTTCAGTACCAGTTTTGTAACGTGACGATAATACGTCACAGACGACCGAGTGTGCACTGCCTTCATGGCACCGTGTACTATTATGTAATATTTTGAACAAAAAAAGGTCAACTTTTCTCAGACCTTTTGAATCTCAAAGCTAATCTAGTCAGTTCAATGCCCACTTATCGTGCAGCTCTGTCGTTTGAATTCCCATCGCTTTTTACATAGAAAAAAAGTGCTGATAACACACTATAGGTCACAGCAAAAGGTTGAAATTTTAATTTTTGTGTCTGCGTTTTATGTTATTTTACAACAAGCTTTGAAGTTACATGTTTGTATTTGTTAAGCAAACCATAGCTTAGTGGTTATAGCTGTTATAATGTTTGGGTATGTGTTTCAGCCTCACGATTACAAAATGTACACTTTTGAATAAGAAGAATACAATTTTGTACATTTTAGTCTATTCTGACTTTTTATTTTGAGTATAATTTTTATTTTTATTTTCTATTTTTCGTTGACTATTTGTCCCATACCTCGCCTGTCAAACTCAACAGATATCTTTTTAATAACTGGTGACGCATATATTGTATACATATACGATGGTGTGGGAGGTCGGAAGTTCCATAGCTAATTACGCTGCAAATCCGGACACCAGTTTCTTTCGAAGCTCGTGGGTGTGTGTTCAAAACAAACGTTTCCCACTGTCAATCCCTTCTATCTGAGGACAACGGGCATACATTTCAAAAACATTTTCATCAGTTACATCATGTCTTTTAATACGCCCGATGTTTACACTCTTCCCGATATGGCCAAAATATTTGAAGCGTCGCGAAAAGAACGACGTACCTACAAAGGTATGCAAGGTATCCTGCATGTAGACGGGATGGATCAGCCCCTTGAACTGACGCGCGTCAACAAGGGTCTGAGTTACATGTAAGTTGGTAACCCCGTGTGATATAAAAAGAAGCTGGCATTTATTTCATCGGTGCAATTTTGTTTATGTAGCTGCAGTTTGTACCCTACCTCACTCGCCAAACAAATTGTCTTGCTACACGAACTGTTAAAACCTTTGTTCGTGTTTACATTTTACGATGCATGGCCAATTAAAACCTTTGTTATAGTTAATATTTTCCAAAGGCGAATACGTAATGAACAGCGTTTGCCTTTTGCGGAAAACTCCACCTGTGACGTAAAATTTACCACCGAAAGTATTTCGGCAAGTTTCATTGTATTTTCTCACCAAAGATAAAGCGGCGAACTGGAGTTGAACGCGTTTCTCCCTTCCGGTGCCCAATACATGTTCTATTTCAGTCGCGTGATTCATCGTGCATGTCAGGTCGCAACCGCAGCGCGAGGGTCACAGCGAGAGCCCCTACCTGTCGACTTGCTAGCTGAATTAACACAAGAGACAAATATAAATCATTAATCACAGCACCTACACTGGGAGGTGAGAGAACTAAACCGAGGTCTAGAACTTCCGGTCTTGGAGCACAAATCGGGTATTTAACCATCACAGCTGGTGAAGTGCATACCAGACCGGAGTGTATTTTTAGCTGAGGCGAATTTAGCCAGCTGATTCTTTAACGTCAAAGGCACTTTTACAGACGGATTCGGTGAAAAACTAGCCAGGCTGAATATAGAAAAGAAGTGTTTCTTATTGTAACACACAGCTTTTTGGATTTATCACGTAAAAAGGTAAGCGCCCGAGAACGCGTCTAAGGTGGTGTTAAACGCATGAAACTTTTTGAAAGATATTTGAAAGGTAATATTTCTCAGTCTTTAAACTTTGCCACGCGTCGAATTAGAGCATGCATCTTTTAGCTGTAACTTTTCGTCCATGGAAACAGGATATGGAGGGTTAATTCTAGATCATTTAGCTATTACTACATATATCATCTGTTATCGTACCACTTATTATGAATACAGGCTTTAGGTGAAAGCTATTTGGTGAATACCAAAGTCTCACTAGCATAGTTTTCATTGCCTTATGAAAACCGGTAAATTGCATCCATGATTATAGTGTAAATTGGCAAACTAGCTCGTAGCACGATAGTTTCTCTAAGGTGAGGAGAAAGCAGGTGTCATACCGAATTATTTTTGAAGGTACTTATGATGGTGCGTTGTGAGAATGTTGCAAAAAAGACAAAAGGTTAAGCAATAACATGGGCTAATTACTTGGTTGATTAAGTGGTGCAGCAGTTGTGTGAGAAAGAGAATGTTGTGTTGGTGGTTGCGTGCACGCGCGCGTGTGTAAGAAAGAGAGAGAGAGAGAGAGAGAGAGAGAGGAGACTGTTTTATATGCCATAGCTTGCCCCATATATTTTATTGCTTGAAACAAGTGCTATTTAATTACTGCCTGTCTGTACTTCATGTAGATAGTATAGATCTCTTTACACTAATTCAGTGGTGCATCAATGTTATATTACACCAATCGCCGACTTATTCAGACCTTGGTTATTAAATCTTGGCCTGGTGGAAGAAGTTATTTTTTAAAAACTTTTATCAGATGTTTCACGAAAATAGAATACCCCGAGCTGTTTGTTCAAACTGTGTCGCTTTACTGAAATTCATTGTTTGAAACGGACTACGATATATAACTTTTGCAAACTAAAAAGATCGATTTCGGTTTAACCTGACATTTTTATTTCGACAAAATTTACTAAATGAACTACTCTATCCATTAACTCAACAGACTCAATTCAAAAGAAAACGTTAACAAATAACTGGCAGCTCCTATTGCAAACAAAATCCATTTGTTTTGAAAATCGAAAGTGGTTTGTCAACAACTTCAGGATAATGGTACACATTGACATCAGCTTATTCTAATAAAACTCTCTATTAAATAAAACACTTGGGTTTAAAGGTTTGAATGACAATAAAATTGCCAATCCTCACCGATGACATCGCATAAAAAAGACATGCTAAAGGACCTAGAGGCACATCTATATGTATTTTAATTAAATGACCAGCCAATGGTACATAGTAGATAGCTTAGTGGTCTGAAGTACATTAGTTTTGATGAAGATTTCAGACATGGGCCCTTGTTAATACGCGTGTTCTTGATAAAACCCGATTGATATAAGTTTTCCTACACCAAGGCACTGAATGTGTCTGCGTGTAGAACAGAATACAGACGGAGTTCCGAAACCTCCGTGTATTTATATACCATCGTAGCGATATACCCCACATACGAGTCCAAATATTGAAAATTGACCTTTAAAGTCTGTCGACATTTCTTAAGCATATTCCACAGGAGGTAATTATTTGGCATTGCTTTCGATTTACATTTGATACCGGTAATTGCTTGCATCACCTACTAAGTTATAGTGTTTGTAAAGGTACTGGCATTTCTAGCGTTCGTTTCACGTGGAGCATTTTTTTCTTCATTTTCTTTTTACCTTTCTTTTGTTTCACAGTTAACCATTACTTCACTGACAGTAAATCCTCTGTAATGGTTTTTTTTTGAGACGACAAAGCCCCTATTGAATGATACGACCTCAGATTGTGCGTGGGGAATGATATACGTTCTGCTGGGGCGGAGAGAAGTAACCCAAGTCAAATGTTGTGTGGGCAAAAGACTATTTTTGCGGCTACCCAGTAAATATCTTAATTTTAAATGAAGAACCACAAGAATGTTGCATCAACATTAGTCCTCTACTCACATAACTTTTTTTCATTGAAGCCCAGAGATAATAAGGTCTAAGGGGGTGGGGATGAGGGTGGGGGTGGGGTGGTTACCGTGACTGTCATTCGTTGTACCTGTATTTGTCCACATTCCAATAATGATATGAACAATATTGTGCTAGTTTGTTCCAACTGTTCTTGGTGCTCCCTCACCCACCCCCCCAACCACCCCTATCCCCACCCCGGAGAAAAATGCACTCACGGGGCTACACTATGGAATGCAGTGTGGCAAGCAGACGGAAATGAAGAGAACAGTCTCTGCATTGCGACAGTGGTCCCAGACCTTTATTACAATAGATGTTCAACCTCACGTTGTTCCTTATAGTATTAATGCAGCCAGGTTTGAAGAATGTCCGGTCATGAACGGTAGGGCAGATAGAAAATTCTAACATTTATAGATAATTTTCTCTATCAAAAAGGTGGAGCGTTGCGATTCGTGCATTGAGGATATGTGCAAAAAAATCAATTAATAAAAATTAAAGGTGCACAAATCGTGGGAAAACCGAACACTCTAACGAGTAAATGCTGCCTTAACGAGCTGCTATGATTTGGGTCATTTACTTGCCAAAAAGAGAAAAGGCGGGTTTCTAAAAACGGGTTTACGTCACAATAGTTGTCTTCTTTTATGACGCATTTGACATGATCATTTTCTCGGATTTTTTTCTTTAAAGTTGTGATCTTTTTGTTTGAGAGTTAAGGCCCCGAGCGTATATACGGATCATTTAGTAACAACTGTAATACATTTGTGATGTATCTCAACAATAAAATGTCATTCATGTGTTACAAAACAGAAGCACCTCTTCCACTTTCCCGGATACTGCTGCTGTCGAGACGTTCAATAAAATAACTGTTCCTAGTTTTTTCCCACTAGAATAAATATACTGTAAATGTATATATACGTGCAGTATACCTGAGAAATACTCAATGCCAATGTCAAGTGATACTCGTCTTCTTAATTCAACGCAGGAATTTATCTTTACAATAAAATAACAAGGCGATGTCAACATGATCAACCCCTGAGATAAATTACACCAAAAAGGTGTTCACATGTCCCCGCCTGATGTTTATCTGAAGAAAGTCTGATACCAGTGGGAAGAAAAAGCGGGGAAATAAGTATATCATAACTGGGCGCATTCCCACCAATATTAAATCAATGGAACTGGTTTACATATGCTCCAGATTGGAAATTATAATAAAAAAAACCAATATTCCAGTTAACTCGATAATATAAAACGCCCCTTGACCCCCCTTGACCCCGTAATAATGTACTGAAAGTATTCGAAAAAATAAGGGTCACCGTCTTGATTACTTGAACTGCGGCATTCAGATCGGCCGATCTGAGCACAGTGTGAACGCGGCATTCGACCTTGCTTTTTATATGACGATTAATGTTAGGAATACTTGCATTCTGTGACCATCCCAAAATAATGGTTTTCTGTATAGAATGTATTTAGGTCACACTAAGTAGAGATTTCTCTTATCTCACTTGTAAAACAGGTGTTCTAACGAGCCCCACATAACAAACAAAAACCCTCAAACATTTTTATATTCCGTGAAAGCATTCATATAGCTATTACAATGACATGAAATCTAAATTTACGTGAGCAATTTTAAATACACATTTTATCTTGAAACATGATGACAAGGGTGCTTGAAAAGACCATTTGGGTAGATTATACAGGTGAATTTTTCATGTAAAACTACACATGCACATTTACATCGCTCAACTCCGTTGTGAAATGAAAGCCCTGTAATTTCAACATACATGTAAGTTTCTTCATCCTTAGTCTGTTAGGTCAGGTCTTTCCCCGGCATTTCCCAGACCAGTAGTTCTGAAGATAATAACAACAATGTTTATTTGCAACTAAGTTGTGCAATGATATAAAATGTTACATTCACTAAGTGAGAATGAGACAAATAAATTTGTTAATTGAAAGTGTTAAGATGAAATAAAACATTTGGCACGCTGAAGAAATTAAAAATACATTAAGATTAAGATTTATTAAAAATAGACTGTGTTTCCAGAGCTTTTGCTTAAGCTTTACAATGCTGCACCACGTTTTCTATTTACACTAAAAAATATCAAGAACAAAATGTACGCCCCGTGCAGTTCCAACCGTGGCAAGTATGAAGCACGCATTACCTGTCTAACTACAGGAAGGTAATATAGCTCCGGCGCACGATTGAGTAACTTAACTAATTTGTTAGCTTTAACTTTGCTGCATGTGTTCGTAGTGCATTACTATACACGCTGTGCAATATTCCCCGAATCTTATATATTACTAGTAGTATATATATAGTATATCATGCCTGGCACCATACCGTTTACAGATTACTCAAGTATTACCATAGTGTTGTACTAGACTTATTTTAATCACATTGTGTGTTTTTGTGCGTTTTTAGATTAAAATAAATCAAATTTTAGGAAGACATAACATAGGCCTAATTCGTTGACCAAAATGTCTTATTTCCTCGTGGTACCGCACATTTTTGTCACGCAGCCAGTGGACGGGATCCATATTCAGCGCACGGTCAGTGAAGTCAAGATTATTAACTGTCCATGTTGTACCTGAGGTAAAGGTCAATGGGTCATTCTCAACAGGCACCATAGATTTCTATTTTGCCAATAACCTAGTCACTACGGAGGAGTAGAACCACCCTTGAGAACTGGGGCCGTTTTTATCCTTCACTAAGGGGAGGGCAGGCTGGAGCTTGAGTGCTTGTGAATTGCCTTGCCAATTTCCCCTGAGGATGTTTAAAACTTTTTTTAATAATTGGTTGAAATGGCATGACATCGGCCATACCTTCGGTGGTGTACAGGAATTTAATTGTTGGCAGTAAACCAAGGAAATTGCAAAGTAGTAGTGGCCATGGCACTCCAGTTGAGGTTCGAAAACGTATAACAAAATGTTTCTGTCCATTCTTTCATTCTTTTTTCACAGCAAAATCGTTTTGTTATAAAGCTGGTAAGATCAATATAGAGATTCTCAGTCGGAAAATACGACTGCTTTTTGTTATCAGCGAAAGAAACATGCCTGGAAAATATGGTTTCTAAGAAAAATAAATGTTATCATTCGGTGTACGTGGAATTTGCGCCAATCGAGGCATTTCCTTAGAGAAAACCCCTTTTGTCAACCTTCTTCTTAGAAAGCGCTTGTGGAATATGGATCAATCTACCGCTCGTGTGACAGCCGAAAGGGTTTTTTTGACAGACGACAAGAATTTGACTAAATAAAAGATAGATGAACCCCATAATGATCACAGTGAAGACGATATATCACACTGATGTTTCAGTGGTTTACCCAAATAATCCAAAGAAAAAAATGCAACTGCGCACGAAATCATATCATATGTCCCCCTAGGCAATAATAGAAAAATGTCATGAAGAATTTATAACTTTTACGGCTATTTTTAAACAATTATAACATTATGCATTTTTCAAGCTTTCAGATGTCCATATTTACAAGCATGCCTCAATGTACATTATGTACAAGTATATCTTAGGACAGCTTCCTCATACCGTTGACATCAAACGTGCCAGTAAACGGTGTTCTATGTTAGTGCCCATGGGCATTAATTTTAAGTAGGGGCGTATCAAAAGACGCGGACAGAAAAAAAGGGCTCAATCTTGGACTTTTGGAACCAGAGAACGCCCATGGCCTGGAGTGTTGACAGCCAAGACGTTCAGATGGCGTCTTTTTTAATTAATAAGTAGTTTGGTTTTGAAGTGAAAGTGAAAAACGAGCAAAGTGTATGAGTAGTAATAGTTTTTCTTTACAGGAATCTTTAGCTTATTTGATGAATGGTAGTTCAAAGCAATTCATTTTCAAGATTAAGACTTAAGATGATAAAGGTTGTCTACCCACCACAAGAAACAGATAAAGGACGGGCTAGTTGCTTATGGACGCCCTTTTATCGTTTATTTCCCAAACCATTAGATCATGAATGTATTTACACAATGTTAGGGTGGATAAATGAAAATCTTCTTGCTTTTCAATATAAAGAATTACGATATTTAAATTACTTGCTTTTTAAACCATCTTTATTTATTTTTTGTAGAATCGGTCACGCTCGTATATTAGATTTAATCACTCCAACATCCTTAGACCCTTTTTAAAGCCATATTACCGGCGAACGTATTTTCGGATGTTAAGCCTTAATTCGTCTCACGTCGTGATTCAGGGGCACATAAAAGAGATGCCTGTTCAAAAGGCCTATTACCTTTTATGTCCTGGCCATGATTTCGAAATAAACATAAATTTCCATTCTAGTTATAAGACGAAGGAAGAAATACAAATCATAATTATGAAAATGGGTTAATTGCATTCCAGCACGCCTTGACTCCATAATGCTTACTGTAAGATAAATAGTCCATTTGAACACCCAGTTTTCAATTTTAATTAGGAATTGGATTATTTATGACGGGAACTAAAAGTGCTTTACTTTGATGGTTAACTTCAGCGAATCTAAATAAGGTTTGCTGTCTTGTCCACCCCTGTGACACTTGATGCGGTAAAAGGCTGTTAATTTAGTGCGTTTTTGGCCCATTTACAGCGTAATTTGGGCACTGTTCCCACTAATGTACATTTGAACAGGTACGATGCTGTGTGTGTGCTGTGAAGAATTAGGAGTGTTGAAATAAGATTGTGCATCACGTACAATAGCTCATACTGCTTCCTCCTCTGCACTTGTAAAGGTGAGCTTTGATTCTCTGTCTCTCTCTCTTTCTTTCTTCTCTTTCTCTCTCTTTTTACACACACACACACACACACACACACACACACACCGGCATATATAAACATACACAGGCAAGCTCTAACGAAAACAGGCACGCGCACTCGCGAGTGCACGCACGCACACACACACCAGCACACATGCAGTCACGCATACATGCGGAGCGCACCATACGTGCAATATTAAATAATATGATTGTCAAGCAGCTAATTGATATATCCCTCAGATAACAGCTGTGCAGTCAGCCTATAAGTTTTAAGAAACATCCAGGCGAAAAAAGCATCCAGAATACGTAAAACGAAACGTTGCTGATTAGACAGTCTTTCACCTTCTGGCAGATGCTCTGCATAGATACCTAGTTCAGAAACATGTTTTAACGCTTAAGAGGTTATTTAATGTTGAGGCTACATACCAAAGTAAATTAAGTGTCTTAGGCACATCCTAAGCCAATCCTTACGTGAAAGTTTTTACCATTACCAAACCTATACAAAACGTGCTGGCGTGTTTTTTATAAACCTGATTTGGTTTCATTTCCGTGGAAGAGATAAACAACCCTTCAAGTCACCCTGAGTTTATGGACAGTCTTGGAGTCTCCACCCTCCCCATCCCCACCCTCGCTATCCCCTGCCACCTTAAAGAAACAGCTGAAATCCTAGAGAGAGAATTCCCGTAGCTTCAAGGTTGATTTGTTAGACGGATTACATTCTCCGCATGCATGAGGCAAACAAGATACACGGGAGAAAAGAAAATTAATGGGATTCACCTGAAAAATATCACAGAACTTAATTTTATTTCATCACGCATTCAGGCCATGAGTGTTCAGTTAACAATGTTCCGTTTTAAAATTTGATTGGTGCATTTATTTCTGACTGTCACTATTTAAACGGGCGTAGCTCTATCTAGACTCGCATTTTGACTAGTTGGATTGCACCCCATAAACGCGTTTGATGAATAGGCAATTCAGCATGATGGTTAGTACGTGCAAGTCTTGCTGATGGTTTTTATCTTACTCACAGAAAAAAAAGAACACAGCGTTAGGTCTGGATACGAATTAATGTTTTTTCTTAACCATCAGCTTTGGGGGGATTTTGCCGGCGACTCACAATATACATTCTTTGGTATATAAAGTCGCACAGATGTATTTAAGATATTTTAATAAAAGAATGACGTGTTTTCTCTTGCATTGCAGGTGACTACGTTCAACAAGAAACAGATTTCCTGGAAAGGGAAAGCACTAGCTAACAGCCGTTGCCATGTCAACAAGAATTAACGTGGAACAAGATTATCGAGGCACTCCAACTTTGGAACGTCTTAGGAAATCGGCAACTATTGATGATCCAACTTCTCCGGGTAAGAAACGCGTCACTATCCAAACTGATGCAGATTCAGGATATGATGAACCAACGAGAGGTCGCCCCATAAACATTCACCGTGAGGGAATTAGCCCAAGACATTCACCTCGCTTGGCCCACCGTATGATGACAGAGCCTGGATTTCAAGTCCCAACTGATCCTTTCTTCGATTTTCCTCACAAATCGGGACGAAGATTTGACGACTTTCACCGCCGCGCCTCACCAAACCCAATGGCGTCGGATTGGGAGCGAGAAATGGAGCGCATGCAGCGTGAGTTTTTCAGAGACAGAGACAGAGATTTCAATCAAATGCACAGTCCGCCGGGGCCGGACAGAGTAGTAGAGCGCACCATCAATATGCCTCCGACGAGGCATGCCGCAGATATTCACGGAGATTATTTCAGGAACATGGAGTCCAATTCCCCTAAAGACGATGTCAAAGTGGCGTTCGTGGCCGATAAAGATGGCAACCCAAAATATACAGTTAAAATGTTCATGGGATCCAACATCAAACCGGAAGAACTTTATCTCTCCACCAATGGTCAAAATGTAACCGTTGAGGTGAAGCAAAATATCCAAGAAGGAAATTCAACCGTTACCAGAAAGTACAGCCGGAGCGTGGTGTTACCAGATTCCGTACAGGCGCAAAAAGTTGAGGCGTCTCTCGGGCCAGACGGGACGCTCGTTCTGGAGGCTCCAGCAACACCCCCAGACTACAACCACCACCGTGAAGCCTCTTTCACAAGCAACTGGCCCATCGTCAGCGATCCCGATTCCCATGTTCGTAAAATACGCCAAGAACTTTACCTCCCAGACTACCCTCCGGAAAACATAAAAGTGAAAACAATTAATCGTAAAGTCGTGGTGAATGCAGAGCGAGAGGAGAATATTAGCGGTGGCACAGAAAAGAGGGTCTTCAATAAGGAGTTTGAATTGCCGGAGAATGTTGATCCCTTTAGTGTCAATGCACATGTCACCAAAGACGGCAAACTGATCATTGAGGCGCCCTTAAAGTTGTCGAATTAATAAAAACTTTAGGTCATGATTCACCATAAGTATTAACTTGTACGTATCCCAGAGTGTACATAAAAAGCCTTGATAATATATGATAACGGGTTTTTGTAATTAGCAAGGTTGCTATTTCCGCGTTCTTGCTGTAATAAGCACTTAAATACAGGCGGACAGTAACCTATAGATGTAAGAACACGAAGAGATAGTTCAGTGTTCGTAATCGTACTACTGGCATTTAAATGTCATCAATCGACTAGGGAATCAAAATCATTGTAATTTTAAGGGTAATACTGCGTACATGTGACTGGGTTTAAGTTCTTCCGTATTGGTAACCGTTCTATTGTATACCCAAACACAGTTCTGTGTGTTTATGTTAAATAGGGTTATATATTGTATAGATACATGCACTACTAAAGAAGCGCAAGTGATAACTATATTGGGAAGAGTGATTATGCTGTATGCTTTAATAGGATCTCTACAGTTAAATGAATGAAGCAAAGTCTTTCTGTTTCTACTATTCAGATAAGTGTCTTTTGCGGTTTCTTAATGTTATTTAAATTATTGAGATCCTGTCTGTTTGTCAATGTAAGATATTCTTTTAGGACAACCGGCTTAAACCAGTTTCATAAGTTATGAGTAATGGTGAGACGCCATGTGCTGTGCAAAACGCATACTGATGCAGGGACATACATTGACAAAACTGCTATGTTCACGCAAATATACATGTGAGGAAGTAATGACACTGCAAAACCTCTCAGGCGGAGGTCTAGTAGCACTGCAAGGTTTATATATCATTTTGACGTACAGAAAAGAAGGGCAAAGATGCGTGGGATCTTTGAGATATATATTTTGTGCAGTCTGAACACATTCATCTGATGACGCAAGTTTGGCTGATGTCCGGTCAAAAGTAGGTCTTGTGTGAACGCAACCTAATTTCACTTAATGTTACGTAGCCTTTTTAGAGAAAAGATGAGCACCGGAAATCTTCGTGCTTTCTGGAATCATCATGAGTCACAGGTAGAGAGGAGGAGTCAATTTGAAAACGAAAAAATTTCAAGAGTACTTTAATTGACTCTAGCCCAACACAACTGTAATGATTTAAGGTAAATTTTAGTTTGAATGTACTCACCGCACATAAACTTGAAAAGGACAATTCATGTTCACTGTAAAATCAAACTTAATTTTACCTATTTACTTGGCTTCGTGAAAAAGATTACGGTTATTTTATTTAATTAATCGTCATTTGCCTCATTTCTCACTGTTCAAATATTCCCACCTTGCTACATGTATACTTATTATGAATATAGCCGTTATTTTTCATATGTTCCATAAACAAGCAATAAGTGTCAACTAATAGAAATATCAGGTAAGCTTGGATGTTTTATGGCCTGCATTATGCAATGCGGAGAACACTAACATCCAGTGTTATGGATGTAGCCAGATATTCAAAACGAATCGGATATTTCCACAATATACAGCAGTAAGACTTGGTCTTTCCTCTCTATATATATTTGTGCCTCGGGCTTTTGGGTGTTTTTTGCATAAAAACGGTGGACGCACTACACCCTGTAATCACATACAGCGAATCAAATGTTTAACCCTTGCACTGACAATTACTGAGTAACTACATGTATGGTAAAGCATTTCCGTATTCTTACCTTCCATGCTGATTTGATCAAAATGAATTGAAGTAAATGTGTACACGTTTTCATCACTTCCCTTTGTTGTTTTAATTAAAATTACTGTACATACAATATTATTCGAAATTGTTATCAACTTAAGTTGCAAAATAAATATAGATATTTAATGTCTGTTATGTTATTTTTTTTAAAGGTCCATTTGACAAAAAGTGAACATTTTGCCAGTAACGCAAAGATTTTGCGTAAAATTTCATTATGCGTTACAAAATAATCATGTTATCAGTATCCCTTTTGGGCAATGTAATTTGGGGCATAAGTTGGAACTACATGTACATAAATAATAAAAAATACTGAGAAAACTGATTTCAAAAACTATTCATACCCGCACAAAAACGAAGTAGATACTCCAGCGCAGAAGACTACTGCAATCATACTGCAAACATGCTTCAAATCTGCTTCGACGTGGGAGCTAATTAGCATATTTGAAACATGCTTCTATCATGCTGCTAATCTACTGCATTAATGCTCCTCCTCTGTACAACCCTATGTAATTTTTGAAGTAGAATTGCAGTAGGCTATGCTGCATTTCTACTGCAAATATGCTCCACACCTCTACTGCGTTAATGCTTCTTTGCTACTTCGATACTACTGCATTTTCGTGCGGGTAGTGTCTGTAGAAGGGCTCAAAATTCTTGATCTACAGAAAGGACAAATTAATAGTTTTTAAGTCAGCAATAAATCAAATATAATAACGATGTATGTATGTGGCACACTACAAACATTCAGTTATATATTTAGAATGGTACATTTGGCGCAATCCTCACTAAGTACATTGTAGGCCTACACATCAGACCTTCCCAGTGAATATGCCGTTTGCTGGCAGATGTAGGGTATGTAAATTTTTTTCACTTTTATTTGATTTGGTGATTTTAGTCCAGATATACAAAGGCTGTAAGGGTTATTTTTATTGACACGTCATATTTAGGGGACACTTACTAATAAGTCTGTTGAGAAATAACTAATCTGAACTTATAGTAGGAGCTTTTGCACCGAGTGCGGTAGAGAAGACAAACAGTCGCAATCTATGCCTTGAAAGAATTTGACCTGAGCTGATGACCCTTTTACACTGTTTTATAGAAGCCGTAGCGGTAAACAAGAAGTTATTCACCTGTTTACCCACTTAGTGTGGGTGGGGCCAGGCACTTCGTGAATGTACATATTGCTCATACATGTGCAAACAACGCCTTCACACAATAAAAAATAAACTGCGCAATTTTATGACAAGTATGAATGAGATTCATCAGGAAACCTTAAATGGAAATTTTGAATGAGTATTAGTTATGAAATTTTAGAATTATAAACATTTTCTAAAGGCACAATTGGGATTTTTATCTGGAAAGAAATTCGTTAAAATGATTTGAAAAATCTTGCTTGGATACAGTGTTTTCAATGAATGAATGGTACATGTGACGTATATCATTTAGGAAAAAGCTCACAAAACGCACCCGAAAAATCCATCAAACTACTGAAAAGGAATACAATAGGCCAAATAATGGAAGATGTTCAGATTTAATCTATTAGCACCCAGAAACCAGCTCACCTAAATGTAAAATAGAATATTCCCGACCAAAATGTTACCCATCCGCTATATTAACATGAGGACACATAAATTAAGAATATTATTTACCAATCTGTGATATATTCCTGAACAGCTTTTTTGAGTTAAAATCAACTATTCCTAACCGTTTCGGTATTAAAGATGATTTCTCAACGTCAAAGGTGATTTTTGAATAATCATAACTATTTTAGCCCTGTATTAATTTGGTGGTCTAGAAAGAGAGAAAACAAAAAGTAAAATTTTTTACTCCGTTGTAAAATGCATATTTAACATATCTTCTTTTGGTAGCGGAAGTGACGTACCTACAAAAATTCCACCCGAAAAATACCTGCATGATAAATCAACATATTACCATGAATTCGTGTGGACTCGGGCTGCGATCTATTTTTAGCCAGCTACATCATCGGATTCTGGAAATATCAGAACACTTGGCAGCCGTATAAATATTGCTCGGCTCCAGCTCAAAGTGCATTGCAGTCTCAAAAGAGATTCGGCAAACAGCCGCAGCGATTTCCTAGCTGAACCCGAACCAAAAGCTAGCATTCCCCAGGCATCCAGGGTGAAAAGGTAAGAGCCGGTCGAGGCATTACTGAAGTTAAGGCCCTGTGCTATTCTTGCAAAAATATGCAATAAGAGTATCATAACATGCAGATTTATATAGTCGTTCTCGTCTTGGCATCATCATCATTTTTGCTGTTGTGCTACGAAATATCGGCCACTTGTTAATGAGCTATTAATAGATTAATTTTGGCACAATGAGAAAAGTTGGTTGCTTGATCACTCTCTGGTGTAGCGGCGTTAAAGTTGGTTGTGGCGAAGTCCCGCGATGCCGATACGGATTCGCTTCATAAGCAGAAGGTGAAGTATGGTGTTGAAGAGAAAGGCCGATGTTATTGATCCAGTGACTCACGATCTCTACTAGATTTATGTGTTTACTTCCAGACAATACATCGCATTAGGGGTTGATGTTTTATCTTATAGCTTTTTACGCACTTCTTTGAATCATTACAATTTCATTCCGTTTTTTATTACCTACCTGTTTGACCTTCTAACATTCCTTTGAGGGACTAAAAAGAAACACCGTAACTGGCCTTTTTTTATTCCATAAGCCAATATGGGCGGGTTTGATCTTTGTATTTAAAGGTCAGATCCTAATATTTCCTTTACATGTGCTTGCAGTCCTGGTCAAATACGGTATTAGGCATGATGACTAGTATTATGCATGATGCATGATGCACGATTCAGCTTTGCCCCTATTAGGTTTCACTCAGTGAACGATAACGATTAAATGCAAAAACTAATTTTCTGCATAATCTTAATGGAACATATAATCGAATTCTGTGGAAGTCTTGGGGATTGATTTGATTTTTTTGTCATTAAATGACTAATGCTTGTTTCAATATTAGACGCTGTGAAGGAATGTACATAAAGAAATATATATTTGGCAATGACGGCAATTAGATAGAATAAATACTGTCCATCAAAATTGCAATTTTTGGTGAATAGTGGGCAATAAGATGAGGGTTTCATTGGATTCTTGACCACATTATCCATTCTCAGTTCCCCTGAAACATGAACAGATGGGCTCTCTTGGCGCCTACAGACACCGCCAATCACTGTAATCACAAGAGCGTTTAACGATTCCTAAATCAATTTCCATAATTTCAGAAATTCTGGTGAACCTACTGTCCAACAACAGACTGTATACTCAACCATGGCCCAACCACAGCAGAATCAGCAGTCGGCCCAGAGAACGTATAGGTCTGAGATCTACATCCCAATTAAGAAAGACACAGTAACATTTGCCGACCGTCAGAAAAGCATTTGGGAGCAAATGGAAGAGAGAATGTCTCATCGTAGATCAGAATGGGAGCAAGACATCGAGCGGATGCGTCGCAATTTTTTCACGCTGGCACCCATGGATAAAATGCTTGGTCCTGTGAAATATGAAGAGGAACGCCACGTCGTACCGAGTCCATCGGGCGCTCCGCTCTTTAAAGTGGAGTTTGACGTTAAAGACTTCGCTGCTGAGGAAATTAAAGTCATCACGAAAGAGCAGAAGGTAATCGTCCAAGCAAAACACGTCGAAAAACGCGGAAATTCTACCGTCACGAAAGAATTCAGCAAGGAGATCGAAGTTCCGCCAAATGTGGACCCACACGATCTCAAAGGTACCATCACCTCAGACGGAGTTCTGATCATCGAGGCTCAAGTCAGCGCTCCCTCTTACCAGGCCATCACATCACAGTCCCAGGGAGCCCTACAAGCCTCTCACTCACGTCCTCTCGAATCCAGCGCCGTCCAGACCACGTCGGGAAGCCAGAGAGGACCAATCATCACCGCCGCCGACGGTAGCCGAAAGCTGCACCTCCAGTTCCCGGTGGGCGACTATAAACCCGACGAAGTTGTTGTAAAAACTCACGATAGGAAACTAATTATACATGCCCTACACGACGAGAAGACCGCCGGTCGATCAGTCCATAGAGAATTTAATAAGGAGTACGAGTTGCCCCAGAATGTGGACCCGTTAACCGTTAGTGCATACATGACAGAGGATGGAAATCTCACCATCGAGGCGCCGCTGAAAGCCCCAAAGAGAGACACCCCCATTACATATGCTTCTACGCCTAAATACATTCTCAATGTCACCCATTCCGGACAGTAAACGGACCCTCTAACTGCTGATGATAAAAAAACAGAATTTAAAGTGGAATGACTTTACTTTGTTTAAATACGTAATAAATATATATTTTCGTGGTGGACATTAACGACTTTCATTTAAAATCCGAAAGGAATTTTTCAAGGTTTAAAGTATATCCTAGAAACACGAAAAAGGATTTTTACGCGCCAAGTACTCTTGGTTTGGTTATAAAACAGGAGCAGACGATATTTCTTTGTCGAGGAATTATTGATCAAACAGACAACGCCGGAACTTGAAAAAAAAAACGAAAAAATGACAAAGATCTATTCAAAGATAATCATGATTCTTTAGGGAGAATATAACTGCAGGCATAGCTGTTTTATGTGCTGCTGTGCTTCGTTGTTTTGGGAAAAATGCTTCGAGTAAACACGTGAAATAATTATTCTACCGTTATGCAACCAGGCAGGTACCCCAGATGTCAGAGCCTCTTTTAAGTAAATGGAATGGACATAATGCATTCAGAATGATCAAATCAACGTTCTAAAACTCAGGGTACCAGATGGGTAGCATTACTACCTTTCGAAGCTACCAAAAATAGACAAATCGGTTGCGCTTTTCCTTCTGCCCACGTAGACTACGACTGCCGGAGGAAACTAAGTTGTGTGGTGTAATATACATCATGTTAAAGGGGGAAAAAATCACCAATTCTCTACCCAGACGCGGCCCCTAGATGCTGACATTTTAAAGGTTATAGTGTGAAATTTCTGTGGCATGCGTACTCTCCCACCTTCACTTCCAAGCTAAACTTGACTGACGCATCGAAGAGATAATTTCGCCACTTAAGATTGATAGTATTTTCTTGTTTATTTTCATTATATCATAAACGACATTACTTCAAAGTTTTCATTGAAAATAGCAGATACCAGACAAGTAGTATTATTGATGTCGAAGATATGAGGCTTGAGTAACCTAACGATGCAGTGATATCTTGGTACATCTGCGGTAGAAGCTATAGATTTCGTTAAACGCCGTTCAGTTTATTCGGTGCCGTTTGATTTGACATTGGGCAATTGAACCGTGCTATAGTGTAACCGTGTAAGGAAACAGATTTATATCAGTGTTTATCAGCTTTGATGTCGATGGAAAGCTTAACACCAAGACTATAGGTCTCCATTTTAGCGCACCTGGCCAGTAATTTATCAAAGAGAGCCATCAAAAACCACCGCATGGTGTTTTGATTTCAGTACAAACTCCATGCATATCGAGGTGGTGTAGTTAATTTTTTCCATGGAACTCACGTTGGTTAAATTAATCAGTTTTTGGCATCTCGATTTTTGCGCCAAAGAAGATCAGTCCATCTGCACAGCTTGCAGATCGATATTATAGTAATGCAAATTACAGCTGAGACTGCTGGTGCGCTTTGCCTGGATGCCTTGTATCTGATTTTAGTGTTCGTCGGCGGAAAAAGTGGTGATCAATCAAAACACTATAAATGTTCTCATATCGTTTATATGAATGGCACGGAAACAGTAAACTTACTGTTTGTCTAGACCTTTGTAGCTTTTATTGGAGTACAATTTTTAAAAAATATATTTGTTATCAATGTTTTACAGACATTATATTGAAGTGTATGTTACTTTCTCGTTTGATTTAATTGACCAGGTGCCGGTTCTTACATTGAAGAGTATAACTGGCGTATCTAAGGACATTAAACACTGATTTAAAACCACGCACTCATCACCTGGAGACTGTGGGAGGCATGCATTTTAACACCTGGCCTAGGTTAGCCAGAGTATAATCAAGAATGTATTACGTTCTTGGTACATGTATAATCTATATCCTCTTAAAATTATTTCTCAGACCGTGATGAATGAAACGCAGCTACAGTCAGTAGGGTCTAAATTGTGGGGAATCTTTGATATGCAATTACCAATTAGTCGGGGAGGCTTTGATTTTTGTACGCACTGGGTTAGGGTGTTATGAAGTTGGGATGAATGAATGAAATGGGGTGGGGGTGGGGTGTGAAACGTTTAGTTGTATTAGTCATCTATGCGTCGTTTTCTCCAAAGCCGTTGTGCGTGGTAAATCACGATGTTTCTCTATGGCTCTCTTAAAATTAGCTGTTTGCTGTCGACAGGCATTATTTTGAGAGGAAGTATGAGCATAATGAAAAAAAAATTGAAGCTGAAATACGATTAAAGCACAGGCGCTTAAAAAGTTAACAACCTATGCTGATAGTCACTTTGTAATCTGTCCCACATTAATTCAGACATTACATGTGAATGTATGATTTAAACGATTCAGACGACATTAATGTGAAAGCGGGGGTAAATAACATTAGTGTTAGCTCCACCAAATATAGCAATGTTGCGGCGGCTCTATTGCTCAGGTTACCCGCTTACTGCCAAGAGCAATCAGAACACCTTCTGAAGAAGTGCTTGTCTAGTAGATAATTCAAGGTGTTGTTCATTCGTGAAGGAATTTCCCTCACAACCTACCTATATTTCCGTTCAAATGTGTTACTTCAATTTTGTTCATCGTTGTAACTTCAAGGTGGAAGACGTAATAAGATGCAATGATACTATCCAAATAATTGTTGTGAAAACAGTTGCTGATAAAGCAGTCCATGCTCTGCCTTCTGCCCAGTCTGTTGTATTCATAATTTTAAACCCCACGCTTATAAATGTCAGGTCGGAGAATGTTTTCTGTATTATTAACGTCACGACATGTCTGTATTTCGGGATAAGGCGGAAGAAATATTTCTATTTTGTCAGAAAAAAACTACATGCACCCACGCACGCACAAACACACATGCACGCACACAATGTGTATTTGTCAACCAGCCGGTCAATACCTTGGCGCAAGCCTTGGGCAGAGCTTTTTGTCTCATTTTACTTTAAACTTGTTTCTGCTCTAACTGGACAATCTCCTATACCTAGACCTTACATTCTTAGGTATATAATATTAAAATATTATGTTATATTAATAAATTGAATATCAGTAGAAAATCTGAAACAGCTCTCCCACTTGCAATCTCGAGGTATGACCCGGCTTACAATCTGAATGGCTTCAATCAGTTCGAGCAATTCTCAAAAGCGCCAGGGAAGAGGCAGAATCGGAGTTCAGTCGTCGCATTTAAAACAAAGTACATCAAACGCATTCTACGCCAAAGTCGTCCTATGTTAAACATGTCGCCAATTATCTCTCGCAACTAACGCAATTATTTCTCAGTGTCTTTATCGTTAATTGTATGCTTCAAGAAAACTTCATCAACGTACTAGATTGAAAGATATAACTTTACATAGTCGTAACTTGCCTTGTCTAATGTTAGCCAAGTTGATTTTAATTTGAAACACACACACACACACTCTTTGATATAGGAGTATACGTTGATTTTTCTTGTATTTCACCTGGCGCGAATGCAAACACACACGGTGCATAGAAAAAATACACATAAGTTTTATTTTTATATTTCAAAAAAGAATTTAACAAAATTTCATAAATACTTCTATTTTGTCCGCCAGAGAATAGCTTTCCTGACTACTGTGTGATGTACTCTTGCTAAAATGATGGACGATTCCTAGCCCAAACTCTTGTAAAAAAAGATGAATTATTTCTATTTCAAACCAGAACAACATGCATTATTCAACCGGTTTGTTATTATTTTTCTTATAACTGCATATTCTAACATAAAAAAGCACTATATGTAGGAAATTTCTTCCCGTGCGGGATTCTTCTGGCGGTCAATTGTACAACTGGAAAACGACCAATTCTCAATGAAATGTAAATATCCTGTCCATGGAAGAGTGAACTGATGCAAAATGCCAAGGTCATTAAAAGTTATTGTTATTGTAAGCGTGGTTGGTTACATGTACCTATTTTTGAAGAGAACGGTGACTTGACGAAACACAATAGCCAGTATGGAGTTTCTAGTACTCTTTATTCCTCATATACGGGCTACAGTCTGGCAAGCAGGCAGGAAGAGCCTTGACGATATCAATCTCCCGGGGTCTCTCTCTCTCTCTTTACCCGAGAGGCCCTTTACCCGAGAGGTTTTTATAGGGAATCGTACCGATTCCTGCGTGCCCTGAATCTATTAGTAAGCCTACATGATTCTGTCCGATTTAAAAGGAAGATCAATAAAACTAAACTACATTATTTATCAAAGTTGCCCTAAACGTGGATATATTCTCTGGGTAGAAAGGTTACATAACGACTGGGCCTTGGACTGGCTTTAACTAAATTATCTGAGGTGTGGTGAATGTTTTTGGTGGAAGAGAACAAAAGAGCCAAATGAAAACAAGGAGGCCAAAGTATTTCTTCCATTTTAGAATTGTCACTGGGTCTCCCTTTTCTGTCATCTCAAAAGGGGTGGACATTCATTATTTAAACTTATTACTTTGAAGACTTATGTTTTTGATATTGGTTTCTCTTTCGTGGTTGTGATTTGAATTTAAAGGCAGCGATGGATCGTATAACACTACCGTGTATTATTCCATGAATAATCCCAGCTCTGAGTTAAGATCTCGTGTAGTTGCCTCGAACCCGGATGGCGATTTCTATCCCTAATAAGTGATTCAACCAGTTTGTTGATGTGAATATATCTCTGGCTAAGAAAAACCAGGAGAATAAGCACATCAGTCCAGTTGCTCAACCTTTTGCAGAATGCTGAAGAAATGCTGTGTTGTGCGGAGACGTTGAGATGGGGCATTGACCAGCATTACCACGTGGAACTTCTAGTTATGGCCTAAATTGGCACTAGCACATGGCACCATATCTGTCACCATTAGGCTTTTCCTTCAGGATTGCCAGAATGGTTCGAACCCATAGTGAATGCCAGTCCTAACAACCCAAGCTATGCACCGACGAAAGCACGAACACTTATTTTAAAACGACTGAAACAAGCATTCTGTTTTTTATTTTAATTTATCTTTCATTGACACAGAACATTCAATAAATCACATACCTAGTAACCCGAAAAGCGCGGCAGTAAATTTAATGATATACTTCTTTAGAATTCGTCACGGACTGTTTCTCTACCAGAAACATTTAAAGATACTGTACATATAAAGCGAGCGTGGGTTTCCAGTATTGCATATTTTAAGCTTAAAAGCACTACTAAATTTGAAAACGACTAAAACATAGTCGACATGCCAAATCATAAACCAAATTAATCTCTCGTTCAGCCAAAAATAACTTTAAAAGTGCAACTTCTTCAAATTTTTGGTCGTAAATTGGCCTATTAATGTGACCCTCCAGTTCATAATTAAAGGTCCGCTAAATGTAGTACTGTGCGCGCATTGCATAATCACCTCTCTCACCTAGAACTATGTGTGAATATATATATAGCTGTACAGAAAAATCCGTTAATATATCATTTTTCGGGAAATGTTACATTCAGAGATTGCGCTTGTGCTGTAGTTACACCTGAGTCGTATATGCCACTTCTATGACTGGAACTTAATAAGATACTCAGGATAAGCCTGCGCGTCAAAAAATATCACAAAAATGGTCGGAGTCTGGTCATTGTCTACCACAGAGTTGTATGTCACCAGTGGTCTCTGGGGATCTTTCGGGGGAGGGGTCAGCATCTTGGGGTCTCCCTTTGTGTAAGATCCAACAAGTACCTTGGCCACGAACATAAACTGCTCCCCAGCTGTATTAGGAGTGCAGTACTTGGGATCGGCAGAATAGGTGGCGTTTTTGGCAAAGTATACTCCTTTTCCATAGATGGCGCCTGGAAACGCGAAACAAGAGTGTTAAAATTACCATAAAATGTTCTCTAGCACGTTTAAGAATAACTGTGTATTACATTTTCAAGAGATAAGCGATTATGGAAACACCAATGCAACAGATGTTCTCGATGGTTGATGGCGCCCTTGAGTAAAATAATTGTGTTGTCAACGATTTTCCCTTTTTTAAAACCAACATGTTAAAAGTTGCTTCAAGCTATATTTTAAAAATAACTAAACAAGCACTTGATTAAATGAGTTGAACAATGGACTAAATGAATTGGCTTACCAACGTTTAGTCCACTAAAGCTTCTGTTGAACCCTTGGTGGTTTATGTAATCGCACTTATCTTCTGACGTTCCGTGAAAAAGTGACATCTCATTGTTCCTACAAAACACAAAGTTTATGTGAATTGCATTGCTAACTGAGGTTCATTGAGATTTCATAAACCATGACCACAGTCTAGCCATAGATCTGACAAACGGTGATAAAGAATTACCTTCTTAGATAACAATGATGCAAAATTTTTCGCAATCAGTTGATTTCTGTATATAATGTGAATATGTATTGGAATAAATCTAAAAATGACTCCAATATTAAGATTTAAGATGGATTCAATGTGCACTTACACCCCCTGGTTCTCACGCTTCAGTTTATCACTGTACGTCTTATACTGTTTGTATAAATCTGGATTCTGGATTCTTATCAGTTGAGTGATTTTCTTTCGTGGCACGGTATCAGCATCAAAGGCGGCGTTGAACTGCCCGGCAACTTTGTCAAACTCCTGGTCCCCAGCTTTTATATTAACTAGATGTACAACACGTGGGATATTATTGTCACGTGGTTGAGGTGACCAATGAGCAGGTACGGAATGGTCTGCAAAAAGGGGAAAACATGCATAATTTGGTACTGCGAAAAACGAAAACACAAACATGGAATTTTTACTTTTTCACATGTACTACTAACATATCAATACAATGAAAACGAAGAAAAGCCATAGGAAAAATTCCTTATGGTGTTATTAATCATAAACAGAATTCGCTAATATAGTGACCCTACCTTTGACCTCTCGTATAACCTGGGTAATTACACCATCACTGCAATCTGTTTCCGTCATGGTGCTGAAATCCAATCTACATTTACTGCCTTCTATCTCGTATACCACTGACCCTTTCTTCGCTCTGTGAGCCATTTCCACACGATAGTTCGTCATTTTATCAAAAGGCTCTCTACTCTGATCGGCAGCAGCTATCCAACACCTACAAAAATCAAATAAATACAATCGCGTTTCACGTCAGTTGTTGTTTACGCCTCTGTTCACCTCTTTCAAAAGTTGCAACTTAACTAGAAAACCAGACGTGAATTTTGTTTTCTTGTAGCCTGTTTAACAACAGAACTTCAGATGGTTATTCTACTTCACTTTGGTCCAAGACAAATCAGCAGGTCGTCCAATCAAGTGGAATATTGTTGCTTTGTAACAAGAATGAAACAGTTACTGTCTAAAACCAATTGATGTTTTATTCAATGGACTGTAGCATGTTTATTTTGAAGTGAAAAAAATGATCCCGAAATGAAGGCATTTTTTGTGAAACAGCCAGTGAGGGATCATGCCCGAAATGCTCAGAGTGCTAAAAGTAGAAAACATGGAAAGGCTTACCACTGAACGTTCCGCTGGAGTCCTGTAGCTTTTTCCTCCTCTGCTCTGTCTTCTATCTTCTTATGAATTATTTTGTATATAGTGTTGACAGTCGGAGAAACATCCATTGAGCAACCCACAATCACTATGGTTGAGGCATTTGTATCTAGCGTTTAAAATTATTTAAGAATTAACATTTTGTTAAGATATTTGCTTAGGTTGTGTTACAATGTTTTGCTCTCGGGTCTTAAATTACTACTGTACATGTACCGTATTCTATAGTGTATACATGAAAGAATAAATAATGTAGCCTCATAATTACCACATTCGAGCAGATTTTAATGAGAATTTTTTTAAAGACTGTTAGAAAAGACTCGTGAGATTTGGAATAAACAACCAGATTACCTATGGTAATTGTTACTCCTCGTTCCACCTCAAGGTCTCGAATTTCAGAAATGTCAGCTTGTGTTAATTTCTGTCCCTTCAACTGAATAGTTTCCTAAATACAATAAACAATCGTACATATATATCTTCTTGATGTTATAAGACCAATTTTCATGACGTGGCGTATCATTCAGTGACTATAACAAGTACACGGTTCTGGTAGTATCCCAAGTGAATAGAATTCTGAAACCAAAGTCACACAAAATACTAAAACCTGCGTACCTTTTGGGTGTTCTGTTGGATAAAAGCTGCAATGTCTTTGTCCGTTTTGGCAACTTTTTCGCTGGCTCCATATATATCAAGTATCACTCTTTGTAAAGCTGTAAGGTTTTGGCGTTGGCGCATGGTTTGGCGACGACCTAAAATTGATCAATGGAAGGCAAAAACAGATGCAGTTTTAGTGTGTCAAGTTTTAATAATGCCAACTATTAAACAGTGGAAAAATGACAATCATTTACAAACATAACACATATAATAACGTGTTCATAAATGAAGCTTCCGAAAAACCATTTACTGTTCAGATCATCTATATGTCCTACCTGATTTTATAGACGAGAAAGAACTGTTGAATCCCTACTGTGAATGGAAAGCTGACAATATACATACATGTTTAAACGTTTGGTAATCAAGTAAAAGCACCGGTTTGAGTCACAGGTCTTACTGGGATTTTGAGTCACCGGATCTACCAATCAACTGAATCAAATCACAGTATGGTATTTTCAGACCCCAAAGAAAACATACCTATCCGAGTTCCCCTTGTAACTACACCAGTACCACTACTCTGCGCTCTTGCTTCGTCTATAAACATCGGGATTTGACCTCGGTCGAAAACCGTGACACAAATCGCCTTCAAATTTTGCATACGGTTTTCTTGGAGTGTCTGAAAGATACCGCCCAACATCTCCTTGGCACACTCTGCCGGATCCACGTGAGCTTTACCTGGAAGACATACCATAGATTGCTCATTAAAAGCGATCTTAAATGTTCTTTTTTAAATCATAACTCGGTAGTATATACATGTACTAATGCATGTATATATGCTACTTTTAAATTATTGTGGGGATAAGATTTATTTATTCACTTGGTGTATGTCTATAATTTGATCATGAGAAAATCTTTAAAAACAGGCAACGTGTTTGAACATACCTGTTCCTATGGCAGGAAAAGCAATTGAAGAACATTTGAATTTCTCAGCCAAAGTTAAGCACTGTTGAATGCTTCGATGGATCTGATTGGCTGGTGGAATAACCACGTGGTAAATTCTCTTGAAAGGAAGTGTGCCAGGTGCTGAAATTAAAGGCAAAATTTCGTTTTTCACTTCAACAGTTTGGAAAGAAAAAGTAGCAGTAGGTGGTAGAAATTACCCATCCGCTATTGTTTTAAAGATAAATTAAAAGTATAAAGTGCTATAGAATCGAGATCATGTGGGCATTAAAAATAGAAAATCAGTTTACTTGTATCTAAAACTGCGCCCTTCTGTGCATGTCTCTTTTTAGTTTGTAGTTCTTTATTGATATCGTCACCTCCGGCTTTTACCAAATGAGCGCCAAGTACTCCCATGTCTGAATGCAAAGAAAATTATAAAACTCATAAAGTTATGACAATATAACTAAATCATTGCAATAGCCAATGGTAATGGCTCCATGATAAAACTACCTCAGACCCTCGTTTATGAAGCGTAATTCCGTGAACGTTATTGGTTTTATGGTATAGCATAACGGTTGAAATTTCCAGGAAAATAAATAAACTGAAAATTCAAAATGTTCTATAAAAAGGTCAATTGCTCATTGTGTGGCTTAAATGTCATGTTGTCTTTACTGAGAACTCTGGAAAACGAGTGCTGCTTACTAAGTTGGGAGTCAACAGTATTCACAATAATATCAACAGTGTCGTCCATAACATTGCCCTGCTTGACTTGAACAGTAACTGCATTACAAGACAGCTCCATAAAGTTAGGCTTCTCCGACTTAATTGAAATGCCTACAATTAGATAGAATTCAAGAGATCACATCGGGGAAATACCCAAATTTTATGAAAAGAATTATCTTGACATAGCCACTAAGCTGAAATTGTTTTGTGTCTTTTACATAAAATTTCAACACGTTCATAAATATTAATACGAATCACGTTTACCACAAAACGAAAACATTGCTTATGCCTAATTATAAAAGAAATTATTGATATAAACAGAAAAAACACACCACTGATCCTTTACCACCAATATATCTGTGACTTTTACACTATGCAAACCATTACATCCATACATGAATAGGCCTATCACTTAGATAATATGAAATCCACTTCTTTCATTGATAATTTATTTGTTATAATATACATAATATACATAATCGCTAAAACCCATTATACCTGCGGCTGCCCCAGTCACCGGCGCCGTTCCCCTACACCTGAGTTCACTGTGGAACTGTCCCACCTGTCTTTGGTCAAATATAGTGAGACGTATGCGCCGAAGATGAGGCGGTTTTGTCTTTTCAACAAAGCCAAGAATGCCGTCAATCGTCTCTTTGGCTGACTCGGCCACAGGCACGTTCGCATTTCCTTCAAAGGATATGTGATTGTTTAGAATTGATGTAGTTAATAATTATTTGGTGTTGCAAATATATGTACATTAAGACATGTTTATTCTATTATTACCTATCTTAATTTTTCTTTATTATTATTATCAAAATTTTTTGGGGTGGGGAAAAGTGGACTTTTTAAAACTGTCACACACACCTGTCCCAATGGCAGGGAAGCTTATGGAAGAACATCGGAATTTCTCCGCCAGTTCGCAGCACTTTTCCACGGATTGGTGTATCAAGTTTTTGTGTGTTAAAATCATGTGGTATACCTTTTTGAACGGCAACTTTCCAGCACCTATAAAACAATAGTACCTTTCTTTGTAAAATGTTCATGAATTGTATCATCTTTAAAGGCGAATCCCTTTCGTTGCAGTCAAATGCAATCCTAGATAGGACAATTGATGGCTCACTTTGCTATGAACTATATCTATGGAAATATTCTGAATGCTTTAACATAACAACAGCCTGTGCACATTTTTTGTTTGATAAAAACGAAAAACAAATCTTACCTGTTACAATTATCTGTCCTTTCTGTACATTGCCGGCATGTTGGTCACATTCGTCCTTTATGCTCTGACCACCTTCCTGCACAATGTGGTCACCCAGCTTTCCAAAGTCTTAATGAACAAAAACAGAGAACTGAATAGCACGTGCAGTAGACGAAACAGTAATATGCTAATAAACATCTGCTTATCTATAGCCATATAATAAAGATATCAAGCTTAATCACCATTTACAATTTTGCAAATACATAGTGACTCAATTAAAATGGATTTATAATCACCATTTTCATACAACAACAATAACAAATAATAATAATAATAGTTAACTAACTCAATTTGTCATCTGACGTATTTACTATGACATCAACTTTATCTTTGGTGAGGTCACCCTGTTGGACTTGAATGGTAACGCCATGATAATCGGTCTCAGTGCATGTCGCTGATATTGACTTTAAAGTAAGCCCAGGTGTATTTGGTTTTGCAACTGAAAGTTATTTAAAACTACATTTGTAAAATGCATCTTTACAACACTGGCATTTATTTATTTGTACAACTTCCGGAACCATGCTATAACCTGATGGGCATGTTTCCTAAAAACACAATGCGCTCTTGGTAATATTTTCAGATTATTGATATTAAGTAATGACAGGTACCGATAAATTGCATTTGAAAAGAAAACGTGAAACATAATTTAAAGAAAGAAACTTAAAATATACCTACCTCTTCGACGCATACGCACGGTTTTTGGCCGCCCCTGTACTTCTAACAATTTCATCTTAAAAGAAGTGATACTTTGCGCATCTTGGGGATAGAGAACAAATCGAATATCCTATGAGGCAAAAACGAAATAAAACGCATTCAATAAGATTAAAACGACCTTTCATAACATAAATGACTAAATATTTGTCTCTCTTTATTTGCCATATAAAGTGCATACTGCGCTGCTAAAATGAAATGAAATAATAGTTAAATTCACTGATTGAGAAATAAATGCTTTTCGCCTGCCTTGACTTTGGTCTGCGAGTTGTTTGCACTAAATTGCACGGTCTCCTTAAACATAACGTCAGCGACAACTTCTTTCGGAAACTTCAGGTTTCCAGTTCCAATAGTTGGAAATGCTATGGATGACACTCCATCCTGGTGTGCTTGTGCTAAACACTGGGACATAAGACTGGATAGCGTCTGGAATTAAATAAAATACTGCAGATGGCAAAAGATGAAAGGGAGTTTTAACAGTTCCAATTTCAACAAGAAAAAACTACGATTTCAAAAAACCTTGAAAAGACTTGCATATATGTCGTATCGAGGCAGTTTTATCTTAAGTTCTAAGATTTCACAGAAGTGTGCCAAAGTTACAGACATGGGCATAAAAGAAGAAGCCAGTTAAATTATGTACGATTATATACAGTTTTTGATAAACCAGTGACCAAAAATACTAGAAATAATGAGGGAAATAAGACCAGGCAAACCTGTTCTTTTCCTGGTTCCCAATCCGGACAGACGACATGGTAGATTTCCTTGCATTGAAGATTGAAGCCACCCGTCTTCTTCATTTCTCCAGCTGACATTTTCCCTATCTTTGTGCATTCCTTGCAGGGTATTGAAGATGATTATTATTACTTATGAAAATCATTGTGATTTATCAGAATAATATATACAATACATATAAAAATTAACATTGCCCAAGCTTTCTAATTGAGGCCTACGTCACTTAACATTGGTGGCATCACGAGATACAAACAGTAACTATTGGCTAAATAAAGGAAGTCAGAACTTATGCGACTTTACAACTAAAGCAAGTAAATAGTTCAAATGAAACAAAAGTATTTTCACAAATCCTGTTTCATAACGTAACCTACCTGCTGAAGCTGAGGGCCAGCAACCTGAGCAATGGCAGCAGAAACATTCCCGGCACTAAGATCCATGTCGAACTTGATGCTGTTCACTATAACATCGGCCTAAAGAGAAACAGCATATAGAGAAACAGCATAAAGAGACCAGAAATATAAATCTTCCTTGACATGGAAAATAATACACTTTCTAAGAATTTATCATTTTCTACAGTTTTCTGATTTAATATATCTCATTCAAATATTTGTCGCTCACTCATTGGGTGATGCAAGATATTCGATACATAAGTTAAAAAGTAGGATTAGTTCGTCAGACTTGCCACGTCTCAAGTTCTCTTACCGTTTCTTGTTCGATATTTCCTTCGACCAAAGTTATATTTATGCCTTCAGGTGTGGTAAAGCTGCCAGTTGGCGTTGGACTCGCCGTTGTTGACTGTAAAATATCACAACAAATATGACAAGTAGAAGTGCTAAATAAATATTTAAAGAGGAACTTTTTTGGAACCTCACTTCAAAAAGCGCCTAACCCCTACAAAGTTTTATGGTCAGAATTCTTTAGAAGATCGTCAGATCTTTGCTCTTCGCAACGCTGACAACTGTAAAAAAAACACATCGCTTTTTATAATTTCTGTAAATTCTATGCAAACGTTTACCGTTGTCTGATAATTACTTATAACCTTAATACTGGAACGTACGTCAGCAACTGACCTACCTTGTGGTTTCAGTCTGAGACTCTTCGCAAGGATAGACTGGTCACTTGGTCTGTTGTCATGAGACTATTCTTAACGCATGTTCCAGTAACAGAGTTTTACATAGTTATCATTCTAATTCTACTGGATGAGTCAAAACATTCACTCATTACCGTTGTCGTGGTGGAAGCTGCCGTTTTGATAGCTATATAAACACTGTTCTTCTTCTCAAGGTTTTCCAGCAAAATGCGTCCGGAACCACTCTGCATGCTAGTGACCATTCCTGGAAATTTTGAAAAAAACTATTTCATGAAACTCAAATCACCCAAATAGTTTAATAGCCAATAAAATTAAATAATATAAAACGACAAGTTCAAACAATCTTGTTCACCGTTTCTCCTACGGGTAGTTAATCTTATTCTAAAGCAATGTGATAGCTATATTTTTTCTTTCTATATCTAACCTACCTGGCTGTTTGATGGCAACCTGTTTGTTTTTAATTTTGTCAACAATTGCCGTCAGTGATGATTCAACTTCCCGGATCTACAACAAAAGACCAGATAAAGACGATTTCTAAAGTGCATTTGTTAAATATATTCATTTCAAATATATCCAACGTCAACTTCAATTTCTTCTATGGTAATTAAGGAGCAGAGTCAGTTTGAATCAAACATACAGTGGTACATGGAGAGTAATCGATTTAATACAAGGACCATGAAACCCTTTTTTGTCAAAAATATTAGTATTAAGTTAATCTTGTTCAGTAATTTCCTCTCGTGTGTACTTACTTTATCCGTTGGGCCCTGGATGATTAACTCCCCGATTTTCTTAATCATAATTTGCACTCCTTTCTTCTTCTCCAAATCCTTAATCTCGGGTACTATTAAATATAAAATATTTTAGAGGTGAGATATAACCAAAAATTGAAACGCTTTGTATATAAGGCGTATATGCTACATAAATCAATTGGAAATACTTCACCTTTAAATTTGATAATATATTCTGCTTGACCAGGGAGAATCGACATAGTTTCGCTTGCGACTGTTTTTTGTCCCAAATGAACGGTTATCTGCTTCGAAGCCTCTTTAACATCATCGCTAAAACCATATACCGCAACGGTTTTCGTATCTCGTAAGTCTGTAACCTCCATCAAAACCTTAAATGGAATGGTAATATTAAGATTCTTTTAGAGATAATGTGAACGTCAATTTGTGATTTTCATTCTCTGTTTTATGACAGTTGATTAACTTTACCTTTGGTAAGTTCTCCTTTAGTTAATGTGAAGCACCATACTTTCGGTATATCTTTACCGACAAACTTCGTTCAATATACGCATATAGCTAGATGAACCAATAAAGATGATTATCATTTCTCTATCATTCTTCGAAACACTGTTATAACTACCCTGAATTTTCTAGATATTTAAGTATCTTGTTTCAAAACCAATTACTATTGAATACTTACGCACAAATCTTTGGCCAGGTTTTCCTGCAGGGTCTCCCAAGGATCGGTGTGCAAGTATGAAAGCTTAGATTTTTGCACGGGGATACTTTGAGTAGTAAGACTGGCTTGGATGACCTCTGCAGCTTTTTCCGTTGCCTCAGGGTGAAATGAATAAAAACGCATCATACATTCAGATGCCTTTCCCGTGACTTCATGAACGACGTCTAAACCAGCTTTTTTGAGTATACATCGGACCTTCTCCCCGCCTCCTTTTGACGCCAAAATCCTGGCAAAATGCTTCTCAGTGACATGGATGCTGTTTTCTTTAATTGAAGTAAGAACGTCCAAGAATTTAGTAACAGCTCTCTCCACCAGAGTGGCCTTTCCTTTGAATTCAATTTCCCCTTCATTTGCTCGAATCATGACGACAACCCCAGCTGGAACACCAGCAACACCTACACTTTCAATGAGGGCTAATTTGGTTTTGTTCTTATCAGTCAAAACTTTGGTTATTTCTTTTTCTTCTTTTTTGGATTTTTTCTTCTCCTCCCTCTGAATTCGAGCAAAATCTTTGAAGATCTTTTGGCATTCGTCTTCAACACCAGTTACTCGGACGTCGTGAGACGCAGGGGCGGCCTGTACATCTATTAACTCTTGGTAATAAATGGTATGCACTTCGCACTCCTCTTCAATCCTAGACCAAACGTAATCAGGAAAATGGACTGATTTTGAAGTAAATCTATCAAGAAACTCTTGAACCACTTCGGCGCATTTCTTTTCCCACTTCTCTTTCCTGTCCATCCGTTTACTTTCGTCGGCCACGACGCGTATTTGGTTGCTGGTGACATCTATCCAGGATTGAGGGAGTGACCCATGAATCGGCTTAAGATTATCAGCCAAACGGCGCTTTTGAGCAGGACGTTCACTTAAGAAGGATACAATGTGTGGGTCGCAAGGGAACTCTAACGTCCAGGAATCTCCGGTATCTTCTTCGTCGTCATCTTCTTCATATCCAATTTCACGGTAATAGACACTGACATGCAACTGGATACCTTCGAGGGTGTGTGAATTCTCAGAAACTCTCTTTGCAACTACAATAAAGGAATAGATCGACGTGTGAACATTTTGAAAAACTCACATTTCAATTAAATCTAGCTGATTTACATTTTGTACAAATGCTTAATTTCAAAGTAAAGAGAGATCGAGAAATGTACTTCTTCTGTTCCGCCGTAAAATTACGTTATCAACACCATAGACCAAAGGATATGGGTAAAAGCCAAAAGCTCTCGGGAGAAAATAAAAACTACCATAATGTTCTTTTATTCCCTTAAATATGTCTTTTATTCCCTTAAATATAAAATATTTAGCTGTTTTGAGAATCAAGCTGATCACGAATTATGTATCATATCATGGTAGGATGCTATTCAGTATATTAGTATCAAATGTATTCAGCAGTTACATCTACTGGTCTTTTTATGGGTCATAGAAATAAGTTTTTTCGAGTAAGACCAGATGTGCAAATGTGTCTACGAGTGTATCTTTGTAAAATGGTTGTGCTCTTACCGTCTGCTTCTTGAAACGTAACAACAGCAGCTTTCCTATTTCTTAGTATGACAACGTCCTTGACCGATCCACCCCTGCTCTTTTTGCTTTCGAAATAATATTCCAATTTTTGCTTGAAATACTGTTCGTCTTTGATCCCTGTGAGCAGAATGACAATGTAATTAATTGACATACTGTATTGCACATTTAGTATTTTGTTGGGCAAAAAGTGCAATTATTTTACAACGAATAACCACAATATGTAAAACAGAGTTAACGGCGATAGACCTACACTGTAAACATATACCTTTGACAAGAACAGCATTAGGTTTCTGTACTTGCTCCACTGTGAGAAAAGTTCCGAGAAAACTTTCTTTCGAGACGTTCTGTGACATAGTTGTGAATACTCTATCTGAAGTAATAAAGAATGAAAAATACTTATATTTGACCTTATTAACTAGATGACGAATTGTGATTCCATGTTCACAGTCAAAAAATATAATTTTTCAAGAAGTCAAAATTAAAGACTATTATACATACATCGCTCCAGAAGTAAATGGAAATACATAAAAATTGAAAAGAGATACTACCGCTTATTTCTCCATCAAAAGTAAGCACTGAGGAGGTGGGATCAATGCCAGTGTGAGCCCCAACAACGGCCAAATCAGGACCAGCCAACTTCTCCAGGAAATGTGACACCGTTTCTCGGCTGGTGCCAGGTGGAATACCCTAAATGATATATATATATATATATATATATATATATATATATATATATATATATATATATATTCCCTGTCTGTAGAATTTTATTTGGGACATATATACTCTCTTTTGTAAATGCTGTTTACTATTACTANTTTCTACTTTCACAATTTTACCCCTTGACCTAAATTCAATAAGAAGAAAACATGTCTATGTATATAAAGAGGCATTATCGGTTTCACTCTTTTCCTTCCTTTTAAGACTTTGTTCTATTAAAATTATGAAGTATACAAAAACGGGATTGCATTTCTTCACTACCTTCACAAGAACGCTCCTGTCGTCTACAGAATCCACACTGTCCTCTGGAACGCAGCTTACTGGCCTCACAGAGACAAGGGTGCCGCGAATGGTGTGGCGTTTTTCCCGCAAAACTTTTGCCCTTTCTGCAATATATAAACAATCTTTTTCATTTTAAAAATTATTTGTTTTCTCATTGAAGCCTTTCTTGGAAAAAGATTCTCCATATATACAAATTACTTATACTGACCACTTGTATACGTACAGCGTCGGAAATTCGTTTATCGGTAACCCTAAGACGGTAGGGAAAATTAAGCGATACGTCTCAGTAAACATAGAAGTATGATAAAATAAATAAATATCAAATATATTGCTATAATGTACCTGACTCATTTGCGAATGTCACATATATAGCGCTGCGCTTTTTAGAGATAGTGATTGCCGTTATATCTGGGGCACCAAATTCATTGCGGCTGAAATAAAGGTCGATCGTCTCTTCGTCTGTCCTGGGTGGGTATTCCGTAACTTCTAAAACACTTCCAGTTGTACCGGAGCTAGATGGCGGGCAGTTAAGGTTATTAAGTTGTGACATCACTGAAATTAAACCAGTAGAAAATGCATGTGTTTGGACTGCTATGTCACACCTGTTCATTGCTATTCTAAGGACAACTAGGCATGGAAGTGTAGGCCTTTTTACTAAAGGACTGGATTGAAATATTGACCCAATGAATTGAAAATAACGGTATTGATCATTTTCTCTGTTTACCTTCAGCATGCACATTTTTGAAAGCCGTCATACATGTAACCTTTGCTGAGAATGCATAGTTATTGTGTTGGGGAGAGTACCACCCTGTAAACTACTTCAACGGTTTTAAGTGTTGGAACGTAGTATGGACACCAGTATATGTATAACTAGTCTAGTATCTAATTGCAAGTAACAGTTCTACAATTTCTTTTATGTTTTGTGGAGCCTTTACCTTGTTTGATACAAAATCTGTATATACTTTCAGACATTTGACAAAGGGCTTGCAATATATACATAAAGCTTCTTATAGCTCTTATATATCAATCAATCACATACCTCGTGACCTAACACAGCTAACGGGAGTTATTCTTCAGGCTTTACCCGGGCAAGGTGAATTCACAAGCTTCAAAACTCATTGTTATACTTACAATATAGACTCTAAATTTCAACTACTCACTTCTTACCTGTTGCCTTCTGTAAAAATCAGAAGAAAAAATGGAGTCAAACAACTACAAACAGCATGCCATGATCTTTTACAGATAATGGCGCCGCACTTTCGGTTTGAAAGAGACCAACGCGTTGTTTGTGAAGTGACCCAGTTCTTTTTGTCATGCGCTGGGACATTTACGGTGAACCTTTTTTCATAAACAGATTAGTTTATTGATTGCAGAATAAACAAGCCCTGTGTTCGAGTGGTTATATCAAGGTTATATCAGCCACATATAGACAGGTAGGTTTGTGAGCCAATGTATGGTTGCTTTTAGTTTAAAATCTTTGAGATAGTACTGAGGTTTTTGTCAGTTAATATTAGACACCAATAAGAACAATACATGGAAAAAACATTGCAGGGGGAGAGTAGAGCAAGAGAGAGACAGACTGCTGACCAAAATGTCTTTTGAGCAGGGGGATATGATATTGTTGCTCACGACTTTCGACGAAAAAACGGCTGTTAAACTTGTTAGAGACACGGGACGAATAGAAGAAGACAGATTTACTGGTAGTCAAAATTTTGCTAAACAAATATGTTTAGGTTTCTTTACAGGGGTGGGGTGGTGGTGCATAGTTACAGGTAAATTCTCATATCACCGTTATGAGCTCAGTTTGAAATTACATGTAAGACCTGTCTAGATTAATATTTGTTTTGTTGGTTTTTAGATACGTGACAGAGCGTTATATGTGAATACAACATGTAATAGGAAAAAAAGATCTCATTTATTGCCTTATTTCAGGCTGTCAACAATTTTGATCGTAAGTCGTCTTACTGAAATCAGATGTTTCAAAATGTTGAGGCCAGGAAAACCTAGTGGTTCCAAAGGCAAATCACATACTACACCTGCTGGGGGCATCAAGGCTACTCATGTCAGTGCAAGAGATCCGACAGTTACACGTACATCGAACAATGACCCTCAGAGTAAGAATAAAGGGAATAAAAGACCAGCGAGCTTTTCCAATAACCGAGACGTGGGACACGTGCACATCGGCCCGAATTGGTCTCGTCATAATGTCAATGTTGTTTCCCAATTAGCAGACAAACCAAACAAGCAAAAACAACTACCATCCTCTCCAAGTGCCAGTGCTCCTTATGAAACTCCATCTGCTGCAACTGGTAGTGGCTACAGTAAACATGAGCCTATTGGTACTTGCAGTAGCGTCGTAACAGTGGATCCTATCCTGTTCGAATACATTCGACGTTTTCATAAAGACGAGTTAACAGATATTAAAACAAGATTCGGCGCAAAGCTGTGTCTAGAGGGAAATCAACTGAGGATAGAATCAGGTGCATCGAATCCAGATGTTGCAGAAAAAGCCTTCCAAAAATTTAGCGACTTTTACCGGAAACTTTTCTTTTCAGGGGGTTTAAAGTACGAGGTGGTTGACGTGAAATATGTAACTTTACCTGATATGCCAAACGTCTTCACAAAAACCATTCAGAAAGACGGTCGATCTCAAATGTGCATCATTGGGCCCGAAGCGGAGGTTGAAGACATGCTAAGGATATATGGAGTTCAAAATCATCCATTTCCTGAATCAAATATGGCATCTCTGCCTTGTCCAACTCACAGTTTTTCCACACAGATATTCACCGCTTCTTTGAATCCCGACGTTGAGCTTACTATACGCACCGGTGATATTACTGAAGAGCAAGTCGATGTTATTGTAAACACAACTGACTGTGACTTGACACACAAAGAAGGCGTGTCGAAGGCTATCGCAACAGCTGCTGGTCCAAAACTTATCCAAGAATCACAAAAAAATTTTTTAAAACACGGCAGGCTTGAAGAAGGCAAGGTTGTCAAAACAAGCGGAGGAAAGTTGCTGTGCAGTTATGTTCTTCATGCCATTGGTCCATCAAAGCGCACAGTTTCAACACATCGGCATATTCCTATCCTTGAAAAAACATTGATAAAAGTATTTAAAAAATGTGACGAAGTTGGGGCTCGCAGCGTTGCTTTGCCAGCGGTCGGTAGCGGGCGAAAGGGCATCCACGCACACGACTGCGCAGAGGCAATGCTATATGCTATTGAGGAAACGACACAGAAAGGGAAGACCTCGCTCAAAGACGTTAGGATTGTAGATGTTAAAAAAGAAACTGTACACGAATTCATAAAAGTTTTCAAGAAAAGGTATGCTGAGCATAACCCTCAAGACATGACTTTTGAAAAAAGGGACAAGATGGGTCTTTGGGATCAAAAGCATGCAGAAGGATCTGATAGCGACGAAGATGACTTAAGCGTGGGGCTTTCTTATCAAATGCACGCGACCAACATTGGTAGTGAAGCAAGTGGTAGACACGAATTTTCACAAAATGTATCATCCACCACGCACCTGCTGCAGCCTGATGTCTCCAATCCAGACCTTAAACCGCTTCATGACACCGATGAAACATGTCCGATCTGTATGGATTCTTTTCAGAACAAGACGACTCTTGACCGTTGCAAGCATAGTTTCTGTAAGGTATGTTTTACTGGCCAAATTCTAAAGTGGACAATTAAATATCGTTCTTTGTTTCTCTAATGACTTAAAACTTAGTACAGAAGAACCAAGTTGAGGATGACCTCTTCTTAAATGTTATTATAAAATACCAATCTTTGCTGGGAAAATCTTACACAATTAACTTTAAGGAAACTTGGTCATGTAATTAATTTTTGTGTTTAATTTTCAGGACTGTTTAGAAAGATCTTTACAACTCAAGAACAAATGTCCCATATGCGGTGACATTCTTGGTGAACAAACAGGTGACCAGCCAGATAACGGTACCATGACTGTATCGTACTGGCATCGGCCACTTGAAGGTTACGAGGGGGTTGGCACCATTGTCATTGATTATTATTTCCCCTCGGGTGTGCAAAAGGTAAAAGTCGATGCAGCTCTGAATCACATGCATGTATTTTATGGGGTCTACTTACTTAATCGTCTTCGAGAATGGGTTCACCAAAGGCACTTAATATAAATATCAAATTAGACATCCTGTCAGTATAGTGCAAAGTGTTTTCAGGAAAAGCGAAACAGGTAGATAATATTATTGCTTTATACCGTGGTGCTGCGGATATTTTGTATTTGGCTATATTATTTCACGCTCGGTTGTCAATTTGATTGGTTTACGAACCTGAAAGCCACAGAAAACCATTTTACAATACCACACTAGGATACCATAATGTACGGTAGTCTTTGTTTTCTGTCTCTTGTTTTCTGTGACTTTTAACTTGGTTAACTTGGCTCACTAACCAATATATATATATATATATATATATATATATATATATATATATATATATATATATATATATATATAATTAATTTTATTTCCTTTCAGTCCGAGCACCCAGACCCAGGGTCACGGTACCAAGGGACTTCCAGGACGGCGTACTTGCCTGACAGCAAAGAAGGACGAGAGGTGCTGAGGTTGCTGCAGAGGGCATTCGAAGCCCGTCTTCTGTTCACAGTCGGGAGATCGGTGACCACGGGGAGAGAGGGGGTGGTTGTGTGGAACGACATCCATCAAAAGACCAGCCCCATCGGAGGCCCTCAGAGGTGAATAATTTTGAATTTATTTTACTTCTTCTCTTAATGCAGGAAGGTAAATCATTTGCGATTGGGTGTTATTGTCCGTGCCCCACATACTGTCAGAAAGAATTATCTATTTTGCAATGATAAAATCCGCTGTGTTCAGACCGTAAATAATTTTTGTTTACTTTCATTGTTTACCTTTAGATATGGTTATCCTGATCCGACATACCTGTCCCGCGTGAAGGAGGAGTTGGCTGCCAAGGGAATCAAATGAAGAGAGAGAGAGAGAGAGAGAGAGAGAGAGAGATGCATTAGACTATGAATTTATTATGAAAGCATATACTAGGTATAACATGCATGATTATAATAAACAAGGTCGGTAGAATAACCTACAATTATCAATACGTTGATAATTTAAAAAAAACTTTGCCAGCTGAGTTCCATTAAGCAAATATTTTCGAACATGTATCGATTGCTGTGCCGTGCCTTGTAGATTTCCGTAGGCGAAGCTGTCAACTGTCTACAAATTCTTGTACAGTTACCCTCTACCAGGGCTGCAGATAAATTATGTGCATTTTTCTACAGCAGATAATTGTGCCATGAACTAGATCGAGACATAGTATCTTAACATACGTATGTAAATATCTAGTTAAAAATCAATATGTGATAGAAAAGGGTATGTCATACAGGCTACAGCCCCTTGTTCAAAAACAAAAGGCAATGCTACAGGTTTGTTGTCCCTCCTAACACAATGGAGGGCTCCGTGTTTGTGGTTAACACATTTCCACATGGTAATGCGCCTTTTCTGCAATTACGTGCGTTTTCTGAAGCATATTAAGCCATGTGCAACGTTGAATGTGTACAAGATGCGTAGTTTCAGCAGCTTTATTTAGATATGCGTGTATTTTAAGAGAACATTAAGCAAACATCTTTAATTACCTCCACTTAGGAGATCGCTTTTGGTACCGTTTATGCCAGTCTGTTATCAACATTATTCAAAAGGTTGTGGGCGGATTCTGATAAACAATTCTGAAACTTCACATATGAATAGATTTTGGTGGTGGTCCATTAATTAATTAACTAATTAATTAATTAGTCAACCAATTATAATGAGAATTAAAGTATGCGCTCTACGAAGACCTGAAATTCTAGTTATTTTCCGTTTTGGCAGTCCTTCCTACAGAAAGCAGTTTACAGCAGATGGCAAGACATACAGAGAATAAACAATTTATCACAACCATATTTACTATTTATTTTCTTTCACTGTTTTAGATAGCCTGTAGTAACAGCATTATACAGATTAAACAAAAGAAATAAATGAACATGCTCAGAAGTAAATTACTTAAATAACAATCTGACACGTCATAAGGGTAAAAAAGAAAGAATTCTGATTGTGTCAGATAGGAAAATTGAACAAAAACCAATTAGTATAGTCTTAATACTTCCAATCTATAAATCTGCACCATGGTGTTAAGTTCCTCTACCACATCCCTTTTCTGATACATGTACACTGTACCTCAACTCTCAATATTGTAATAACATAACTTCAGTCCCCCTCAGCAACTCTGACCATCATTACAACCAACTTGATAGTCATGGATTATTTAATAGATTACATTTTCCTAACCATAATGAAGGGTAAAAAAATCAATATTGTAGTAAGTAAAGTTAGTGCTCCATATACATTTGGTATCTAAGCAACGTTATTTATACACAATTAAGTTTTGTCCTTAATGTAAACAACCCATATACTGTAATGATAAAAACAACTTGTTTTGGCTTCAGTGACACACATCCAATTGTTTGGCAAAGGGGCAAATCTATACTACTGCAACAAATCTGCACTGCAGATATAATTTATGAATGCTATAGCAATACTGAACTAATTAATGTCCTTAACAGTTTCGGTACTTGTCAACAATTCAGTAAATTTACTGGTATTACGATGGAATTCAAACCCCACAAAAATTATTGCACCAGAACATTCTTCTTTTAGAAGACATGCTTTTTGAACATTCACAGATTCAAATCAATAGTTCATTTTTTCTCTTCTTATAAGCAAACTTTTCCAAAGTTATCTTTTTTTGACAAATGCAGGGGAAAAAATATGGCAGCACATTCCCCTTTGTTTTTTTTTTTAAATGAAACGGATTGCATAAGAATACTTGCTTTCTTCCAACAGGGAAAAAAAATCACACTGATGAAAACTTCTCTCATACATGTCTTGGATAATAGACCCAAAGACCAAACAAACAACCACGGTTTTTACCCCACAGGAAACACCTGACTGCAGTAATCAGATAGGGGTCTTTTTATCAACAGGTTACAGTCTTATTGACTGCACAGGTGACATTCAGCACAGTGTACTCAAATAAATAAGACATTTTACAGCAAACACAAGGCAAGCGCTTTGCCAAGTATAATACTTAAATGGCTAAAACTGAGAAAGGATATGCAGGGAATGGTTGCCAAGTGAAGAAATGCCAGTCTTCCATAACACACAGAAAAAAGAGAAAATTAAAAAGCAAATTCCTTTTGGCAAATAGTGAACTAGTTTCTCTCTTAGCGTTAACAACACATAGGCAATCATAATACATAATATCTTGCATGAGTCAATATGCAAAAACCATAGCAGGCCAATGAAATAACCAGCAGCAAAGGACAAAGCTGATCAATAACATAGACAGACTCCAAGCTTTTAATATATTTCTGCTGGTATATTAATGTGACGTCCTATAGAATAGTCTAGCTTAACTCCACTGTTTGTCCAACACAGCTGAAAGTTTCTTTCAGTCATCTAAGATAACCTGATAATCAACATGTAAGCTCCCATATTTGTACAGATATATCATTTTGTCAGTACCAGAAGCTACAAAGGAGATGCATTTATATGTATGCCTTCATCATGCAAGGTGCATACATAGAGATGCATTTATGACTGCTATTATGCCATTACTGTGGTAACAATCTATAGGAAAATCACTATGAACTGCACACTTCAGTTGTAAACCCAGTGACCAAGGGCATGCATACAGATGTACCAGTATGACAGTTCTACAGGTAACAGCAGGTGTAAAGAGCAGCAGAAGTTCTGCTAACAGAACATGACATCTGAAACATTTAAGTCACCCTCTTTAAGAGCCCACACACAAAACAATGGCAACAGCATGCATCATATACATTGAAATAGTCTTCAGATTCAACCAACATTCACTATCTCCATGACTGCTTACTCTAAAAGTTTGGTTGCAACCACGATTTCCAATATCTTTTGTTTCTACCCTCTTTCTTTATGGGTGTTTCCTCCAGATCTAAATCAAACCAATACATTAAGCTTACTGTGGAGCTGTCAATTTGCTTGAACCCTCTTCTCTATCACTTACAATGCTTGATGATATTGAGGAAAAAAAAAATGATGGATCTCAAAGGAAAATTGGCCTTTGCTTTTCCATTCAACATCAACAGCTGACTGAACTCCAGACTAGCTGCTTTTTCAATAATAATAGGATCTCAGTAAGCATTTATTAGAAGCATGCTGAGTACACATGAAAATGTAGAAGAGGAAAGGGTCTAACCTGGATCTACAGTCACAACACCCTGCTTACACAAATGGGAATCTAAAAGAGAAGAAAAAAATTGATCGAAATACAACATTTGCAAGATAAATTAAGCAACACTGAACAATCACTTTCCATCAGACTATCAATGCTCTACAGCTGACTTTGCCATTAAAATAACTCTTATCAACTGCACTATTGTGGAAGATCCAGCACCATTCACTGCCCTTCTTTAAGTCCTTCCTACTTTGGGAATGGCCATTTTATCTTAGAAGAATGCAATTTCCTTTTAAAGCCCAGGGCATTTTAAACTTTTTTGTGTTGTTTTGATGGTAAGAACTCAATGGCTCTTTCTTCCTGATGTTCTGGCCGGAATTCATGAACAGCAGTATGAACTGGGGTCTGCCAACTGTTAAAAGTAATACAGAAGATAACTGTCACTGTCAGTCTACTCCTTCAGAGATTGTCATTGTCCATTTTTCTTCTCTTCTTCTTCTTCGTCCTCTTCCTCCTCATCCTCCTCCTCCATTAACTGCTTCGCTAGTTTAACAGCATAAAATTCATTGTAGTGTAATTTCCTCTTCTGTTCAAATTGTTTTCTTTTTTCTGGAGCAAAAGAAATATATTACTTTTTAAAAGAAGTATATTTGGGGAAAAATGCTGTCATGATTGGTTTATGCAAAGGAGATGGACAGTAGTACTGTCCATCTCCTTTATGCAGTGTCTAACAATTATGCATCAAGATTTCAAGTACAAGTAACACAGGAAAAATTGAATTTGGGTATTGGACTATTATATTTCAAAGCACATTAACTTAAAAATGGCCTACTTTTCAAAAGTATTAAACCTAAAATTAAACATACCTAAGGCAATACTATCACACAATTTTGATGAAGATTGAAATTGAAGAAATGTATCTTTAAAGGTAAAAATCATTTTTAATCTACCCTAGGTTTATTTTATCTTTAGTTACCTTTCCCTGATTCTGATAGATCATCTAGATCATCTTCATCATCATCTTCTTCTGCTGCTTTCTTCATAAATTTTGGTTTTGAATTATGCTCTAATCTGAAATAGATAACAACTGTCAGTATAGATCTAACTGGCAAGAGTTGAGCATAACACAGTTTTTGCTGAGGACAATTTATGAGCAACTAAAAGAGTGAAGTTCACTTTTTTATACTGAAGGTTAAACTAACTTTCTTGTGGCTACAGAAGCATGAAAAATTCATAAATAGGATTCACCCAATAACTTGAAATTTATATGATACAATCCATCAAGAACAAATTAAATATCAGGGTGCCTCCCCCCCCCCTTTTAATATACATACACACACAAAACACAGTCAACACTTCAATGTCTTGATGTACTTCATTTATTGAACACCCCCCCCAGACAATCTGTAAAAATGCAACAGTCAAAAGTCATTAACATTATTGTTCCTTAAGTAAACACTCAAGTGATGCACATTCATGCAGTATTCAGTTCATTGATTAGTCTCCCAATTAGCACCATTGTTATCAGGCGTCATTGGCGGGATCACTTTTCGTCCCACTCCCCTGTTTTTCAATTGACCTTTCGCACAATTTCAAAAAAGAAAAGTCTTCAGTCTAATTATGTGGTACAACAGCTGATTTTTTTTCCATAGGAGGATTGCCATTCTAGACAGACAGATCAAATTTGCAAGAAATGCGTTGGTCTTTGTGTTTTTTAATA